CGTGCAGCATGAACAAATCAAGTTTAGATGATACTTGTTCGTATCAAAAATACGCAGAAAAATTGCAAATTTAACAACTGAATTTGAAACGAGGTTTAATGATTTTAGTTCCCTCGAAGACAAATTTTTTTTTTTTTTTGTTTTCTTCGATTTTTCTCAATAAGTATTGGATCAGTACCCAGCCATAGCATATGGAGGTTCGAGATTCAATGCAACTCAAATTTGAAAGCAAAATTCATTGAAGTGGGGGTGCCTGAATTTTACAAATATTACCATCCAGGTTTGAAAATACTCGAAAATTCGCATATGAAATTATTTCCATGTTTGGTAGCACTTATCGGTGCGAGCAGCTATTTTTCAGTCATGAAAGGTAATAGTCTCCTATTAGGAACCATATTAATGATGCTCACCTGGGTCAGCATTGAAAGTTATCACTGCAAAAAATTTCTCCCGAAATAGGAAAGATATAGCAGAGAAGAGATGTCAAGTATCAGGACGTAAACATTAAATTTTTCTGTTCTTTTCTATATAAATATATATATATATGTTTATTATTGTATTATTCGAAATAAATCTACGTTTCTTTAAATTGTTTTTTTTTTTTTTTTTTTTTTTTTTTTTTTTTTGTGGCCCGCCTAAAGTTAAACCTTGTTTGTTTGGCCCAAGTGTACCTATGAGTTTGACATCCCTGCTTTATTGTGTATACTTATTCAAACATCCAAACTGAGGTATTTTGTATAAATATTAAATATTTCATTGGTGTTTTTTAAATACTGATTGGCCATATTGGATCCAGTGATGGATCTTTTCATGGAGAGTTGTATTTAGATGGCATTTATTGGTTAGATTTGTCTAATTATTTATTTTGTGCTTGTTTGTCATAACCTTCTATCCATTAGGATGATATTTAGATCATTAAAAATATAAGACAAAGTACTTTAAACATTAAAGTAATGTACACCAAATGAGAACAAATCTGATAACTGGATAAAGGCTATCAAGCTGCTCAGATAGTTTATTATCCAAGGTTTTGTTTAAATTCACAAAAAAATTGTGAATTAATTCTTTCTTAGCCATTGTTAATTGCCTTTTTCCCAACAATCTGCAATCAAAATTAATTAATTGCTTTATTTCTTATTTTCTCAAAGCAACTTATCTTTGTATAAATTATGAAATATTAAATTTTAAATCAGTCTATATAGTATGTAGTATGCAGTGTTGCCATGCTACGTGGAAAACTGGAAAAAGTCATGGATTTTAAAAATTGACTAAAAAGTCATAGAAAAATCAAGGAATTTAAATATTTTAGTCAAAATCTGGAAAAGCCAGGAAATTTCATACGCCGATCCCCCAAAAAAGCCATTTTAACACCAGCATTGGAAGCGATAACTTTCTTAGTGAATTATGTATCCTGCGAGTGTCATTCGGGCAGCTGGCCTTTCAGAAAGGCAAAAGCAAGTTTCCAGTAGCCTCTAAAAATCAAGAGATGTACATGTGCAGTGCATGTTGAACTAAAGAAAATACCTTTCCATTCTCATACAAAACAAAATCGGTTTAATCCTAGTATATGGTACACACGGGATTTGGCGACATTATGATGAGCAGTAAGGGCTTTGTCATTTTGGTATTGGTGACAGTTTTCAAAATCATGCCAAGGCCATATCGTATCAGGGATAAATAGAAGGGCTAGCTCATTTCTTTGTTCGACAGCTCGCCGACTCGAGCCTAATGGGGGGACGTAACAGGCAATAATCTGACGTCACTGTGATGCCACCTGTCCTGATTTCCCGCGTTTAAAAGAGTAGTTTCATTGAGCTGCGAGACGATTTTCTAGAGGTTACATATCCCAAATTAATTTTAATAATATATATATATATCTGTTTTCTAATAATGTGTATATTTAAAATAATTTATATATATGTAATTTTAGTCAGTTTTTATTTTACATTCTATACTTAAAGTATCGTTTACATAATATGGCTTTTTGCGCTGCAGTAATGTGCCGTAGCACTTACAGAGTATGAAAGGATGAGATATTTTTATTTCATGGGACCAAAGGATCCAAATGAGAGTTTGCTTGTTGACGAAAGAATGGATACAAAATGTCAAAGAGAAGATCTATTAATGTGAAGAGCGGAAAAATCTGCAGCGAACATTTTCTATGCAGTGTTTATGAAGATGATATAAAAAATCGCTTGTTTGGATAGCCCAAAGAGAAACTGTTGAAATGGAATGCTGTGCCGAAAGTAAATTATGATGACACACTCATAAATCGAAATTGATGATGACAATAATAAATCAATTTTAATGATTTTGAAATAAAACTCACAAATGAAAATGTAGATCATCCTAAATGTTTAAGGATAAACAAGAATGCATTGATAATTTGTAGAACAAAATAATATCCTTAGAAAATTGTATTAAATTGTATTAAGTATTGAAAAATAGAGAAAAGAAAAATTTTTGAATGTTTGTTCAGCGACAAAGAAGGTGGACGACATCTAGACAAAATTGGTATCAGAAATTAAAAATCTCAAATAGCGAAATTTCGGGAGGGGGAGCAACAAATCGAAGAATTTGGGAAAAATGTCTAAAGCCTATTTTTATAAAGAACGCAGATTAATGCATTGCTGAAAAACAAGGGAAAAAAATCAAGCGGACTAGTGACGATATTTCACGTTGCATTCGTCATAAGACCTCTGTCATCTTAAAGCTATGATTTTTGAAAAGAAAAAAAATAAGAAAAAATTGGATTATCTTTACCTAGTGTTAGCATCAAATTAAAGAATTTTATTTTTTGGTGCGCTAAATTTTAGCGTAGTCCAAGAATTCAAGGTAATGTTCTTACTCTAAAGAAGGAAAGAGGCGAATATTTGTATTCTGTAAAAAATATGCGTTCTCAGTTTCGACAAATGCATAGATTGAAAACTCTGCTATGACTCTAAACTGGATAAAGTTAATCTTTTCAAAGTGTGCAGTTGTTTTTAATCAGAGGTCTCATTTCACACTCTGCCTCAAATTACTGAGAAACTGCGTTTTAGATAGAGGATTTGTTTTATAAAGATGTGTAACTGTTTTAAATTTTGATATTATTAAAGAGGTTTTAATAGAGATTGAGAAGAAATCAAATTGTGTCACAAACTAAAACCAAATTATTTAATGGTCAAGGGAAACGAGACAAAAAGTCGCTCCAGAGAAAACATTATTTTCAAAAGTACTGCAAAAGGTATACTCTACCCACAGGAATCAGAAAGCATCTGCCTTCTATGAGTTTAATCGATAATATCTTCGGTATTATGAATAGTACCAAAATAGTACCAACAGAATAACAAGTATTTAACAAACTAATTTTGTTAAGTACTTGTTAAGTTATTCTTATTGTATCCTTTGTAACTAATTATTGTTAGATTTTGTGCTAGATTAGCATTCTAGATAAATATATAATATATATGTGATAAATATATAATGTATAAACATCAAAGTAATTGGCATAAAAAGACCTGCTTCCTTTACTCACACTTTTGAAAAATAAATAACTGTGTTTTAGGTACTCTGAATAAAGCTATTTGTCAAAATTAAGGTAACAATTTTATATACATTTATTTCATTGTAATATAGAGAAGTATAAATTACAAAAATATTAAAAAATATCTATTATATTGAATCGGAAGAGAATTATAACATGTAAATTTACAATAGGCAAAAAATCAAACGTAGTTAAATGTTGCCATAAATGTGATATGTTTAAACCTATGTCAAGTTGTTTTTTGAGTAAATTTAAATAGCGCTATTATAGTTATCTTAGAAGCAGTATAAAAAATTCTCTCAGTTAGTAGCATGCAATAAGAAATGATTAAATAACGTGCATTAATAAAAAAACCTGCAAATAAATAAAAAAAACATGGAACTTTATGTTAAAGAGTAGCACATTTTATCTATTAATTTAAATTCAGTGAGCATTATTAAATTTTTTAATGGTTCACAAAATGCATAAGCAGTAACATTGCTTCTTCCAATTATAGCTATCTTTCACACACAGCTCATTTTAACGCTGGTTCAAAATGCTAATTTCCAAGCTGTGAATTATATTGGCGCGCTCAGTGTCATCATGGCTAGGTCATCACTTCTCACTTTCTGCTTCAGGGGGAAAAGCTCTATGAACTAGCCCTTCTCTTCTAAGTCCTGATATCGTATACTAGGATTTTACTACAAAATCTTTTAAGATTTTTTTTTCTTTTTAATAAATGCCTTTTGTCATTTTGCAATAAAAATTAACACACACACACAACACACACCAACACAAAAAAAAAAAAAAAAAAAAAAAAAAAAACCAGTAATCGGTCAGCTTAGATAACCATTTAATATAATTATATTCGCCAAAATATCGATTATTGTAATTCAGTTTTTAATCTTTAAGTAATTTATTTTAATGTTATTTGCATCTTTTAATGTGGCTTCTTCCTTCTAAATTTATTTATTATTAGTTCATAATATTTTCAAATTTCAGGCAATTTTCTCTAGCAGACTCCTAAAACTAAATCTAGGAAAATGATGATGTCATGGCGAAATTTAATGCACGTATTTTTTGCTTATGTATGCTGCTAAATAAATATAAAATACCTAAATTTATTTTTAAATATCATTAAATAGATTTGTTTCTTTTGTTTAGCTGCAAAATGTCTGCAAAAAAAGACATTTTTAAATCCAGATTGAGCAGATTCTAATTCAATCTTCATTGGAGAAAACAACTCCTATTATAGTTATAATAGTAATGCTTTGGGGATAAGTCATATGTAATTGGCAAATTTTTGTGTTTTTAAGTGGAACCATAATTAATTTATCTCTCAGCATAGCCAATGCACGCTATGCGGGTAGACTGGAATTTTCTTAAAACACGCCTAGAAAAGTCAGGGAATTTCATTCTCCTCTTTGAGTGTCAACCCTGAGTATGTTCCTCGATACGGTGAAATAATTATTTGTGGCTTCCTTTTTAATTTCAGGTATTATCAAGATTTTAAAATAAACAAAGAAACTGGAGAGTCAAATTTTACAAAGTTACTAATCATGGTATGAACATTTTTAATATTATTCTTTATTATTAGTGTTTCAGAATTCTGCATTTAAAAAATACCTGATATGGACACTACATGACTTCCTTCTGCAGCTTATTAAATTATATACAGTTTTGCTGCAATTCATTTCAACATATTTCCTCGAATTTCATTAGAGATGTATTTCTGATTCAGTCAATTCATTTCTTACTTCATGGCAAGGCAAAAATACATATACCCCAAAGCATTTTTGTTAAAAATTGTAAGATACAGAAAACCTAAAGCACCAAATGCAGTTAAAAAGAGTTGAAAAAAATTTCACAATCAAAATTCTGCAAGTTTCTGTAAAAAAACAAATAACTCAGTGAACACACAAAATTATTGGTGCACCATAGTTAACTTTTGACCCTGCTGAGCAAAAAAAAGACATTGACGTTGGTGCATTAACTGACTTTATTCAACTAAAAGTTTCAAATGGTGGCCTCATTAGGCTTAACTCACCACTTAAACTTTTAGATTGTTGATAATTCTACAATTATGGTACGCAGATTAACTAAAGGCATAAAAACCTTAACTGGAGCATAAGAACAACATAATTCAATTGCTTTTAAAGCAAAAAATACACAATTTACCAGCATATAAGAATAAAAAAAAAAACTAAGTTTACTGAGCCTGGTAACAGAGTGAGAATATTTGTAATGCACAAAGTCTGAGATCCAGACATCCAATATCTGGAATGATCTAAAATCCAGGTCTCAAAAAGCCACCAATAGCCCCCTTTTTTCCCCTTGTGTATGCTTTACGCATGTGCATTTAATTTTTTTCCTCTTATAATAAATCTTGTGGAGAGTCTGATTCTTAATTTCAACTAGGCGCTAAATAAAATACCTTGTTATTAAAGAAACAATCATTTTAACATAAATTTGTGTGATCAATAATTTGGCTCCATAGCTGCATATCAAAGCGAAACATTCTACATAGAAACATCGTTGATTTTTCACCTACTAATATTTTATATCTCTGGCACCAACCTGGTATATCATTCATTATTTATTATATATTGCTTTTATCACTGCATGTTTATCAACACATAACAACTTGAGTAATGACTCATGCAGCAATGTCTAAAAAAATTTTTATAATATTAGTTGAATAACAAAGGGAATGGTAGCTTTCTATGTTGACATTACGCTTGGCAATGATTACAGATGTAAGTTACATGCACTAAGAAATGTTCACAAGGAAAAGTTTAACAAAAATTTCTTTCCATGTGCTAAAAATAGATTTTTTAATGATACTCATTGGCCAAAAAATTACACTTAGTCCTATTTGATTTAAGAATAACTGATTTGTTATTCACATAAAGCCAGAACTGCCGTAGCTCGTATGGCCAAACCAAGTGGCAGAATTTAGGGAAGACTTTTTTTTTTTTTTTTTTTTTTTTTTAATTTAGAGAAGCACCAAGCAACAAAGTTTAAGGATGACAAAATTTTTTGAATTTAGGGAAAGCACTGGTACCCAAAATTTTGGGGGAGGGGCGGCAAAAGTTCAGAACATAGGGAGGCACTTGGTGGAAGAATTTAGGACCCCCAGAGGCTAGCAGTAAGACATCTAGCACCAGCCCTCGATAAGCCTTAAGCATATGTGAGAATTTATTTATTCAGGAATTGGGTAATCCTTTAATAAATAACTAAACTAATACAATTCAGAATTAATTGTCTCAGTGTGGTAAGCAAGACAAAATTTTGCGGAACAACTTGTCTTTCATCGCTAATCTCATGATACATAACCAGTAATGTATACATGTATACTGAATGCTATTAAGCTAGGCTATATTATATTTTATTGATTTCAAGGAATTTCAATCAATATAGCAGATGTGCTGTTCCTTTACTTTCTGATTTGATCCAACTAATTATTTTTGCTGTTATTATTACATCAGTTTTATGAAAATTAAAGTTTGAACTTTTGAATATGTTGAAAAGAGTTTCTATTGCTGCAGCTGCAACAGGATCTGCAAAATGAAAGCAGGTGTCCATTAAACAAAAAGTGGAATTTTTGAAAAAAATGGATAAAGGTATATATATCCATATCAAAATTATGCGAGGAGTGTGACATTGGAAAATAAACTGTATAGGACATAACAGAAAAAGGAACTTCTTGAATTTTTTGTGGATTCCGACACCTCACTTGCAATAAATAACAGAAAAATTATTATGTTAAAAGTGATGACTGAATGCGTCAGACAGCATCGCAGCAAGGGTTCATTGACGGGTTCAGTGCTAATGCTCAAGAAAAAATATCTCGTGAAGAAATGAACTTAAAACTGAGTGCAAATATCTGACAGGTTGGTTAACCAAATTTAAAAATCGCTATGCTATAAGGCAATTAAAAATTTCATGTCAAAAAGCTTCAGCTGATATTTAAGGTGCTGAACTATTTGCAGATGAACTCATTCATAGTGAAAAGTTATCTCCAGAACAAATTTACAGCGCTGCTGAAACTGGTCTTTTTCTCGAATATGTACCGCAAAATACCGAATACAGAAAAGGCTTCAACTGGTGTCAAAGATTCCAAAGTAAGACTAACAATTTTAGCATGCGCAAATGCTGCAGGAACGTACAAGTGTAAATTTTTCATAATCAGAAAAAAACACAACCTCAAGCATTAAGCATTACATGACCTCAAGCAAGTAAAGGTTTTCCCCGTTATATATATCATGCAAATAAAAGAGCATGGATGACACAAGAATTAATGAATGATTGGTTCAAAAATTATTTCATACCCGAGGCACGGCAACATTTCAATTTATTTGGTTTTACTTGATGACACAAAAATTGTCCTGATTGTAGATGACTGTTTGGCTCATACTTCACCAAATTGTAGTTTCAGTGAAAGATAATGTATCGATATTATTCTTTCCTCCAAACTGTGTCACCATCATTCAACATATGGATATCAGAATAGTGTGCGCGCTGATGGTCAAATATAAAGTAGCATTTTTAAAATCCATGTTAAATTTCTTGAACAATGGCAAGACTGTTGAGTAATTTTTTAAATATTTTAGCATAAAATCTGCTGTGTGGAGCATCGCAAGATCATGAAAAGATGTGTCTCCAGATACTTTAAAAAATGCTTCGCATAGTTTATGGCTAGCCACCATATTTCATGGTGAGGATGATGAATATGATAGCCATCAATTTGACGGTTTTCAGATATCGCAAACCAAAGGTTAAATTTTCCAGTTAATAAATAGAAATGTGGATAAGCAGTAATAAATGAAGATGATATAAAAGAAGCTGGCTTAGACCCAATTTTTGCAGTTGCAATCAAATTGTCTTTCAGAAGGGCAAAAGCAAGTTTCCAGTAACCTCTAGAATTGAGAGATTTGCATGTGCAGTGCATGTTTAGCTAAAGAAAATATCCATTCTCATATTAAACAAAATCGGTTTAATCCAAGTATATGGTGTACACAGGATTTGGCGACATTATTATGAGCAGTAAGTGAGTCATTTTGGTGTTAGCAACAGTTTTCTAAATTGTGCCAAGGCCATATCGTATCTAGGATTTTGTTACAAAATCTTTTAAGATTTTATATCCATCTCAAAATTATGTGAGGAGTGTGGCACTGGAAAGTCAACTGTATATGACATAACAGAAAAAGAAACTTTTCGCATTTTTTGTCAATTCCAACACCCACTCACAATAAACAAAAAAATTATTCGTTATGCTAAAAGTGACAGTCACGACAAAGAATGATTAAATAAGTCAGACAGCATTGCAACAAGGGCATGCCATTGACGGGTTCAGTGCTAATGGTTCAAGCAAAAATATTTCATTAAGAAATGAACTTAAAAACTGAGTGCACATATTCAACAGGTTGGTTAACCAAATTTAAAAATCGCCATGGTATAAGGTAATTAAAATTTCAAGTTAAAAAGCTTCAGCTGATACTGAAGGGGCTGAACTATTTGCAGATGAAGTCATTCATAGTGAAAAGTTATTTTCAGAACAAATTTACAGCACTGATGAAACTGGCCTTTTCTGAAATATGTACTGTGAAATACCTTTGCAACCTCTACAGAAGAGGCTCCAACTAGTGTCAAAAGTTTTTTAAAGTGAGACTAACAATTTTAGCATGCACAAATACATGTGTGCATGTGTAAACTTTTTGTAATCAGAAAAAAATACACGACCTTGAACAAGTATAGGTTTTTCCTGTTATATATCGTGCAAATAAAGGAGCATGGATGACACAAGCGTTAATGAATGATTAATTTCAAAATCATTTCATACCAGAGGCTCTGCAACATTTCAATTCGGTTGGTTTACCTGACGATACAAAAAGTTATCCTGATTGTAGATGACTGTTCTGCTCATACTTCACTTAAAGTTTCAGTGAATGATAATATATCCGTATTATTCTTTCCTCCAAACTGTGTGACCATCATTTAAACTAAGGATATCGCAATAGTGCACACTTAAATGCAAGTAGTGTTTTTATAATACATTTATTATTTTAAATTTCTTGAATAATGGCAGGCCTATTCAAGAATTTTTTAATATTTTAGCATAAAATTTACTGTGTGGAGCATCACAAGGTCGTGGAAGGATGTGTCTCCAGATACTTTAAAAAATGCTTGGCATAATTTATGGCCAGCTACCATATTTCATGGTGAGGATGATGAATATGATAGCCGCGAATTTGATGGTTTTCAGATATCGCAAACCAAAGGTGAATTTTTCCAATTAATGGATTTTGTAAAGAAATGTGGATAAGCAGTAATAAATGAAGATGATATAACAGAAGTTTTCCATTGTGATAAGAATGCCCCAATCATCAATCAATTAACTGATGCTGAAAATTTCAACATTCTGTGATACTCATTTTTTAGTTATGTGAGATGCATGCATATGTACCTACGTAGGTGCATACAGAAGTCAAGAAAAAGGATCGCTTTTAAATCCGTGAGCTATCAAAATAGGTATTTTCATTGAAATATGATACTCAAAATTTTTTGCGATTATAATATGTTATTTACTTCATAGAAGGAAATAAAAAAAGATGAGATTTTTATTTCAGGAATGTTTGATATCCGAACATTTGTCATAGTAGAAAAAAAATTATTAGAAATGTAGATAATTTCCAGTCATATTATATTCTCAAAATTGTAGGGCAAAAGGCTAATAAATGTTCTTGATATGCAATTGATGAATGTATTGTACTTGAAAGATTTAGCAATTCAGTATGAAATTCTTTTAAACATAACAGAATAGTTTGAGTATAACCATCTCACTATGTATTTTTAATCAAGTACAAATTAAATTGTCAGAATGATATTTTAATAGTGGTTCAAATGACTTTGTTACCATGTCCTTCAAAGTGTCTCTTATCTTCCTGAATTTCATGAAAGATGTATGTATAGAACAGATGTGTTTCAAAATGATTTGCCGATATTTTCCCAAGAATTTTTTTTTTCTTTCTTTTAAACATAGAAGTATCAGGATAAGCTTATTATTTTTCATTTTAAAGCTTCGCAATGATGGGCATCCATAAATAAACAGGTGTTAAGAGTTTTTCATTTACTTACAAGTTTTATTCAGAACTATTTATAAGTATCCGTACAAAGTGCAAGGCAGTGTAGATTGACCTCTTTTTTAACATAATTATATATATAATGCTTGAAAATTAAAAATTGTATGTTATATTTTGCTTCTACTTAAAGATTATTTGATTAAAATACTGTTTTCTAAAAATTAACTAACTTCTAAAACTTCGTAACTTCCTAAATAATACTAACTTTGAAAGTAACATCAAACTAACTTTCAAAAACAACAGGAAAAAAAAACTTTTGAGAAAGTAAGGGGATCAATTGAAAGCTGTTTAAAAATTTTTAGCTGAACAAATTATTTATTTGTTAAATAAAAATTTTAACTTTTTAAAGGTTAAATTAGTTTTCAGTGCTGATAAGAAATCTACAGTATTAATGTTTTTCTTAACATTAAAATCTGTGATTTTTTAAATGTAAATAATAAGTTATATTTTTATTTTCTCAGTAAGGTAACAATTATAATAGCTTATCAATAGCATGTGCTTATGAAGCTTCTAGCATTAAGCAGCTTCTGAAAATAAGTGGCATTGTGTTTCAGGAAGCTGTGAATTTCATCAAAAATGCCAGCACTTCTAAGAAACCTTTCTTTTTGTATTGGACACCTGATTCTTCACATGCACCATGTTATGCTTCCCGAGAATTTTTAGGCAAAAGCAAAAGAGGCTTGTAAGTTGCCTTTCCTTTTGTATTTGGCACTTGATTCTTCTCATGCATCATGTTATGCTTCTAGAGAATTTGTAGACTAAAGCAAAAGAAGTTTCTTAGTGAAACAGCCACATCTTATATTTTAAATTGCGCAAAATGTATAAAGATTTAACAAAATTTAGAAGACAGAAAGTGGCATGATACTTATATTAAATATCTTTATGGGGGTTATAAGATATAATACACAGTTTTTCAAGTAAAAATGGACACTCTTCATTAACTTTGCCTTCAGCTTTTTATTTTAACATTTTCTGGCAAAGAAATTTCTGTTTGTCAAGGCATATGAATATTTTTTTAATTGAAAATTTTAAATCCTTGTGCACCCACATAGCATTACACAAGGCTTACAGAGGTAAGTAAAAAAAAAACAAATACAACAACACAACACAAAAATAAAATAAACTTACAAATTCACAGATGACACGTCGGAGATAAATTTACAGAAGAAAGAGAAAGCCATTTTATGTTGGACAAATGCGTTAAGAGGGGGAGGAAATGTAATATTCACAGAGTTTAACCTAGAAATGAGTTCCTTTCGTCCTTTCTTGAGCTTTGAACAATAGAACAACAAATATTCGACATTTTGCTCTTCCCTGAAACTGCATGAACACAAGTCTGTACTAGATAATCTAAATCTCTTCAGATATGAATTGAATTTACCATGTCCAGTTAGAAATTGAGTAACTTCAAAATTGCAGAAAAAGAGTTTTTTATTCAGTCTCTGAGGAATGGAAGGAAAATATAGTTTAGTCAAAGAGGCAGTAGTAGAATTCCTGTATAGTTCATTCCACTTGAGTATTGCATCATCCGTACTTTTGTTCTTGTAAAATGACTTGGGAAGTATCATTAGAGTAATTACTTGAAGATGTGTAGCTTGTTTTGCCAACCAATCAGCCCTTTCATTTCCTAAATTGCCAGTGTGGCCACATACATGAGAAAAGATAACATCAACACCTTTATTATTAAGGTCTTTAAGAAGAGCATGGGAAGTGACAATTAATTTATTATATGAGAAGAAATTCTTAAGAGAATACAAGGATGAAAGAGAATCAGTGTGAATAAGAAATTTAGCACTTAGCGAACAGTTGTTAGATATCCACTTAATTGACTCACTAATGCACAGTAATTCGGCTTGGAAAACACTGCATTCATTGGGAATTCTAAAGAGTTTGTATTCCAGTTCAGAACTATGATGGAAAACAACATAAGCTAATCCAACTCGATTATTAATTTTACTGCCATCTGTATAACACACAACAGGGAAATTATCATCAACAGAATTTTCATAAATGATAGTTTGAATTGGTAAATGATTGGCAGAATGAGGAAGATCTTGAAACACCTTGGTATTGAACATAAATTTGCTGATGATATCTTTAAACTTTTTGTCATTTAAAACATGAAGGTCAATCGGAGGAAATCCTGAAATTGCGAAACAGGCTTCATAGCTAATTGTTCTGTAGCCACGCACAACTCTTAGTAAAATTCTTCATTGAATTCTGCGAAGTATACGGGAATTAATCTTCTTTTCTAAAGCTGTTCCCCACACTCTAGAAGCATATCAAATAAAGGGGACAATACCCTGCGTATAAATCATATCAATAACATTAGATTTTAAACCAAAAGTATTGCAAGAGACACGATTAAGTCCTCTAAGTATATTTTCACACTTATTAGATAAATACATAATATGATTTTTCCAACAAAACTTATGATCAAGAATAATGCCTAAATACGATCAAGAATAATGCCTAAATTCACCTCAAAATGGTGAATGAAATATTTAATTTCATTCACCATTTTGAATAAGGTATTATCCAAGTACAGTTGTTGGTTTGTATAGCTGACATGCTTTCTTTTAATTATCATAATTTTACGTTTATTAGGAGATCTTGAAACACCTTGGTATTGAACATAAATTTGCTGATGGTATCTTTAAACTTTTTGTCATTTAAAACATGAAGGTCAATCGGAGGAAATCCTGAAATTGCGAAACAGGCTTCATAGCTAATTGTTCTGTAGCCACGCACAACTCTTAGTAAAATTCTTCATTGAAAAATTCCAATTTCTGTTCTCTGGATCAATAGGCATATGAATATTGCAGTTATTTTATAGAAAATAGTAATTTAAAATTGTTTTTTTCCTCTAATTCCTCCATCAAGCTGCAACCCTAACAAATTGTATTTAGTTATTTCTAAAAGCTATATTTTAATTATTTTTAATTTTCTAAGTAGATAAAATCTCTTAACACTGGTAGTTCAGCCTAGGTTCAATTCCCATCGAATGAACCAGTTGGCTGCAAGAGGTTTCCATAATTTCTGATATAAATATGGCTCATATTTCATATCAGTTTCCATATTCCTGATATGAATACAAGCCACTTTTTTTTTATTATACCTTAACCAGGAGCTGAGTGGTTAAAACTACTGAATACTGGTAGTTCATCCTGGCTTGGATTAACAGCCAGGTGTATGGGCTGGCTGCATAGTTAGTGTTTGTGGTTTTCTATACGTGTAATGTGAATATGAGCTAGTTTCCCACAGAAAGTCCTCCATAAAGGCATCCTTCCTCTTAGGCAGATAGTCCTCTTGTCTTTGCCAGGTTCAGATAACCTAATCTAACCCAATCCTTGAGCAAAGTTACCAGTCATTGGTGACTAATTTTTTGCAACCTAACACATGAAAAACAATACCTTTTTAAAAAATTGTAGTGCACTGAAAAATACATAAAGCAGCAACAAATTAAAAATGCAAGAAACATCCAGAATAAAACACTAAAAAATTATATAAAACAAACATTCATAACAAAACAATGTAAATTACGTAAAACAGGAATTATCTAAGTTAAACATCCATAATAAAACACGTAACTTTCTTTTAACCCTGTCTTCTGCCCATGTACACAGTGATCTGTTTAAAAACAGATCAGAGAACTGAAAAATTATTGGCACCCCTGAGCAACTTGGCACTACTCTTCATGTGCACATCGACCTGTTTTAACTTTAAAGAAAAAAGGAGACGGTAAAAGCTATTATCATTAAAAAAAATATCAGAGCAGAAATGATAAACATGACCCTCTTAATTTCAAAACTGTGTACATTAGGCTGTGGCGTAATGTCTGCATAACTGTCAGTGGGTTGCCAGACAAATACATTTTTATAAAATTTTCAACTGCCTGTTTTGGCAATATCGGGCTTTGTCCAGTGACTCTTATCAGGGATAATCAGAGTGCACATTATAAATTTAGTTTATGTTACAAATTTTTATGATGATGTTATCAATAATAATAATATACTAAGCTACGTGTTTAATTAGAGATGTACTGCCCATGTTGATTTTAAAAGAGTTGGAGTTTTGAAATCAAAAACTTTGACAATTATCATTATTTTATATTAATAGTTATTCAAATACTCACATTTGAACCCTGAAACATTGAGAATTGTGTATTGAGATTAATTATTAACTGACTGTGTGTAATGATATTTTCTTATTTCCTATTAAGATATGGAGATGCTGTGCAAGAACTGGATTATGGTGTCGGGCAGATTTTAAATACTCTGCGGGCTTTAAGCATAGAGAAAAATACTTTTGTTTTCTTTACATCCGATAATGGAGCTGCTTTAGTCAGCAAAGTAATGGGTTAGTACACATACTTATTTTAATGAGATATATATTTATCTAAACTTCCACTGTTAAAATTTGCTGAAAGAAGCTGATAATACAGTTTACTTTGTTGAAATTTAATGATATGATTTTAACTTCTTATCTCGTGTGTTTGTGTTTTATATCTTAATACCTCTTTCTCTTCAGCTAGTTTTTATTGAAAGAGTGTCAAGTCTCTTGATTTAGACAGTTTTCGAATGTACGCCTATGAAACCTCTTTATAACATTTTCCCACATTGTTTTCTTAAAAATTTCTCACAATTTTAAAATTGATTGTCTTAATATCTTTTTTTTTTTTTTTTTTTTTTTTGCATAGTAAAAGATATGTAAAATTTTCCTGTACTAAAGTTAAATTATTAAGAAATTATTATTTTAATGAATAGCTATTTTCACACTTAGAAAAATCATCTGTTTGTTTCCCATATTGTTATACGTAAAGCAACAGAGACAGAAAAAGAAAGATAAGTTCATAACAACTTTTGAAGAATGCCATTTTGATTCACTGTTTCGCTTTATAAAAAACAAAACAAAAAAATTAGTTTTTCAGTCATTTCTTGTTTAAATTAGATAGTACAGTAGTTCTATAGTAACGCAATGTAACATAAAGATATAAATATTATCGTAATATATTTATTAATTATTTATATAAGATATTATCATAATATAAATATAAAATATATAGATTCTATAAATCCTTGGTACTTATGAATTAGTGCAATCACCTTAGTATAAGTTGCTAAATTAAAAATTAAAAAGTATGCCAAACTGTAGCAAACATGCTCATTCTTTTGGCAAGCAAAGTCGCGGTTTCAGATGTATTCTTTTCTTTGTATTTTTAAGTTTTAACAGTCTTTATCAACCAATTGGTACATTTTTTGCCTTATATTCAATTTTAAAGTACATGCTTGTGGAATTTGCCAGCAATGGAAGAAAATGCAGTAAAATTTCTTCAAAAATACAGAATATTGCTGCAAAATCTCTAAAAGGTACTATTTGTTTTGACAATTTTTTGTTAAAGCGATTGTCTCAAAACTTGGCCTGAACAAAAGAAATAAAAAAACCAGCTTGTAAGTAGATTTATTGATTGATTTTTTAATTAAAACCTGATTAGAATATAATATATATTTATAATAGTATTTATGTGTTTGATAAGTAAATTTTTATAATTGAATTGGATGGTGACATATATCATCACTCTTTTTTATTTATAAAATATCACCAGGTGATGCTAGAGTTGATGTGTTAATGTATAACTACCAAATCTTTTAGGCTTTATGATTAATTTCCCTCTGAGACCCTGCTAGTGAATATGTTAATTAGGTTCTCAGAAATACTGATCACTTTCAATGTTCAGCATAAGTTTCACCATATCTTAAAAACATAGTTTTAGTTTGTTTAAAAAATGAATCTTTTGTATACTGCTCTGTTGCAGATAATTTTTTTTATTTAATTTTAATTAATTTTTATTTAATTTATTAATTTTAATACTTTTTGCAGCTGGCAGTAATGGCCCCTTTTTATGTGGAAAACAAACTACATTCGAGGGTGGTATGAGGGAACCTGCAATTGCCTGGTGGCCTGGTGTTATCCCTGCAGGCAAGGTGATATGTTTCCTGTATTTTTGATGATTTTTCATTGATTTCTTTTGCTTAGTAAATTTTACCTTGATTTCTTCTGCTCAATAAATTTTGCATAAGCATTAAATGCAATATTTATTTTTTACTATTTTAATAAATAAAGTAAAATGAGACACATTTGCTTATCCGAGTTTTTAATGTTCACAGAACCTGTAGTTAAGAATAATATTATTATAATTAATCATACTATAAAATTAAAAGATGTGGATTGTTTAATGATTATTTGCAAGTTGGATGAATCTGAAACAAGAAATTTTTGCTGTATTTGGATTAAGTACTAAGATTTGGAGAGTGATCAAAAACTAAACTGAATTGCCAAAATAAAGAAAGAAACTTTGCCAGATTTATTTCATTATTTTTTTTTTAAGTTTAAAATATTCTGGAGGTATTTGCTACTCTATAGTTTATCATTATATCTTTTCAGTATTCCTTTACCTAGTTCATATGTGCTTGAAAATTAATTTTATTCTCTTTGAAACAAACATTCCATTTTGTATACAAATTAAATGATGCTTTAAAGATATATCAAGAATATATTTACTAAAATTTAGAATATACATTTATTATCATCAGACTGAAACTTCTATATTACTGGAATTTAGCTTATTCATTAAAATATATTTTAAATCTATAAGGGATGCTCATTTCCTCAAAATGTTTTGCACTGGTATTAAAAATTTATTCTATAATTTTTTAATTTAATCAAATTTTAATAAGGTATTGCTAGAAAGTTCTTTAATCCTAAGACTGCTTATCAGTGTAAAAGTATAAAATTCTGGTAATTTTGGTTCATGTTCTATTCATGATGGTTCAATAAGCTTGTAGCATATTTTTTGTAATTTTCCTTGCATGCAGTGTAAATCAATATGAGCCAAATTTCCACAGAAAGTACTCTATAAAAGCATTTCTTTTCATAGGCAGATCACCCTGTAGCATTTTGCCTCAGTTTAATAATCTAATCCAATCTGTAATCCCAAGCATGACTCTGCAATTTTATCATTGTCATTTTATTAAGAAATCAGTATGTTACAAGTTACATATGTTTGTAAGCTGTCAGTGTGTTTTAATTATGAGCTTTCAACCTCTTTTTTACATTAGAGAAAAGTAAAAATCTATATTTGAGAACTAGTGCAGTTTTAAAATAACCCAATTTCTGATTCACAGACAAGCAGTCCCCCCCCATTACTTCATTAGATTAGTCATTGGGCGTCATCTTTGCCCAAATGTTCCGCATGCTTATCATGTGAATTAAAATATAATAAGCAATGTTTTTAATAATGTCTGGGCCCACCAGCAGCCAAGCAGTAAGGCTGCTGAAACACTGGTAGTTCATAGTTCAGTGCCGCCATGAAAATGCCCATACAGCAGCCATGCATGGGCATTTTCATGGTTTTCTCTATATGTAACTTTTATACAAATTAGTTTCCCTTAGAAAGGCGTCCATTAAGGTATCCCCCCTTAAGCAGATAGGCCTTGAATACTTTGCCATAATCAAACAAAACAAACCAATCTTACTAATGAGATACACCTCACTAATGAAACATTAGTAATCTCAGTGAACATCTAATGAGACATTAGTATCAATTGCAGTTAGTCAGAAAGTCAACTGTCTGTTTCATAGATAAACTAGATAAATCTACTTATTCCCTTAAACCTTATATTCATGGAAACTAATATTTTTATATATATTTGTATTTGGACTATAATAATCAATGTTACTTTTAAGTGATATGGAAAGTTACAGCTAATCTGTTGTTCAGTTACTAAAAAAATGATTAATTATGTGTTATATAGGTGTCTCATCAATTAAGTACTGTAATGGATTTGTTTACTACTGCCCTGAATCTAGCAGCAACTGACCCTCCAAAAGGAAAAATTATAGATGGCATAAATTTAATGGATTCACTAACTAAAAATAAAATAATTGAGAGGTAAGTGAATTGAAAAGCTGTTGCTCTACATAATAGAGGTGGTTTATATATATATATAGTCCAAAGGGACTTTGCCCCTGAAGGATTTTTGTTTTCGTTTTGTGATTTTGCGTCGAATCACTATAAGCGACGTATCACTTTTCAAATTGTTGCCACCAAATGTTAGAGTCCTGCATTATATTTTAAGAATCTGCATAAATGTATGTATGTTTCTCGCATTGTGATAAAACAATGGTACCTAGAGCCATCCAATTTTGAATGATGTAATCCTACTGCAAATATAAGCATCTGAAAACCCAAATTTGGAATTTGTTTTATTATCGATTTCATATTTTGTAAAACTTTAACGAATTTTTCATTAACGAACTCAATGATTTAAAAGCGAGCAAGGGCAACACTGTTTGGGGGGGGGACCTTTTTATCTCCAGCGTACGGAACTGTGTATCGGAAATTCTAAAGATATGCTCATTTTAAAATTATTTTGCAACATTGCTGTTGAACTGAATTTTATGGTTTAAGGGCAAAGAACATGATATTTAATAAATAAGGGTAACACGCAAAATGTTAAAAAAAAAATTTCCCTTTAGACATAACTTAAAATTTGAAACCTTTCGTGTTTTTTTTTTTTTTTTTTTTTTCCCCTCCTCTTTTAGTTCTTTGTCATAGTGAGTTATAATGAGAATTGGCTCATTTTAGCCAAAGTGAAAAACAGCTGTTTGCCAGTATACTAGCAATGCATTCAGTGTTGACACTGTACAGTTTATTTAATATATATGTTACTGTGAAAGACTGAAATTAGAGAATGTTAACACAAATATGTCATACTTGTGGACCTTGACCAGCATACATCGACAAGCACAGAGATAATTAAGACACAATAACACGCCGAATAAGTACTAATTCAGAAGTCAAACAACAAAAATCAGCGTTAATTTTTAAAATTTTCACAGGACTAATTTCGATGGTTTTACCAAACCACCATCCTCAGCTGCAACTAGAACTAAAAGTTTTTAGTTCTGGTTTCACCAACAGATGGCGCCACTTGCTTATCCTTGTACAGGCTTTCTTATTTTATCTAATCATTATTTCCTATCTTGTTCGTTTGCAGTTTTGCAGTTGAGGATGGTGGTTCGGTAAAACCATCAAAACTAGTCCTGTGAAAATTTTAAAAATTAACGCTGATTTTTGTTGTTTGACTTCTGAATAAGCACAGAGATATGCTATGATGGAGGTCAAAGCGAGAAACTGAGAAGACAGAAAGGCAACAAAAAATTTGATCCTTTGTTTTGCCTCCATTGAGGTTATGTGGCATCCATTTATACTACTCTGAAATACTACTGTTTGTCAGTCACATGGCATCTATTTGTTGTACTCTGTAACACTGCTGTTTGTCAGTTTTATGTGAGGTTTGCTAGTAAATGCATTATTTTCTTAATTTTTTATTTATTTTTTTTTAAATCTGATACCCTAATTTATATTGAATGGCAACTGCAGTGAATTGTGAACGTAAACTTTTTTTTTGAAAAGTTACGTGTATTATCCATGAGTAAATTAAAAGACAGTTTTTCTTATTTTTTTCAAGAAAAGTACTCTAGAATACTTTCTGAAGTGATTTCTATTAAAACTAAGTGCTGTACACTTTTGGATTACAAACAGTTAAAACATTTTAACATTTTTAAAGTTAATGATGAAGAGTAGTTAATTGTACCATTAAAACCAGAAGAAATGAATATACAGTATTATGTTACCAATAATGAATTGTTCAGTATACTATCTGAAACTCACACCAGAACAGGCCATAGAGGAAGAAAAAATATTCTTAAAAAGTTGCAAGTTAAATATAAAAATATTATGTATGAAGTTGTAATGTTGTATTTAAATTTATATAAACTGAGTCAAATGAAACACAGTGACCCTAAAAAGGTAGTGTGAAACCAATGGTCAGTTTGGAGTTAAACTTAAGATGTCTTATAGACCTACAGTCACACTGCGATGACAAATATAAGTTTATAATGGGGAAGCATGATTATTTAACAAAGTTTGTCTCCTACAACTAAAGAAGCTGTATATCACCTTCTTCAAATATTTTTAACATTTGATAGACCAACTATATTGCATTCACATAATGGTAGGGAATTCAGTAATCAAGTCATATCTGAACTATGTGCTATGTGGAAAGATGTTACAATAGTTCATGGAAAGCTTCGTCATAGTCAAACACAAGGCTCAGTTGAAAGGGCCAATCTTGATATACGAAATATGTTAACTGCATGGATGAACAATGACAAAAGAAATAAAGGGTCAGATGGTTTGCCTTTTGTTCAATTTGCCAAGAACACTGCATACCATGAAGATGTACTCCAAAGTCTTTATGAAGCACTCTTTGCCGTTAAACCAAAAAGAGACATCACATCATCATCTTTGCCTGGTGAACAAACTGCAAATGTTGATGCCAAAGATCAGCTCAGATAAATTGTTAGACTTTTGAAGAAAATTTTAGCAATGTACCATACCGAAAACCGTATTCCAAAGGAAAATATTGAAGAGACATTGCAACCTATCGCATCTGCATTTCAAGATCTGACTAAACAACATGTATTTCTGTAAAAAGAGTGACCCAAAGCGTATCTTCTTCTGCAAGCTATGAAAATGTTATGAACCTCAAAAGTAAAATTTCTACCTCCTCAAATTTGGTGATATCATACAAATACAAGTCTCTTATGTTGACCATGATTGTACAGGTGCCCAAAATGTGCTGGCAGTTAATGGAATAGGACTGACTGATATAAATTAGCAAACAAATATGGTACTCTGAAGCAGCTCTATAAATGTAATCAGTTTAAAATTTGTACCGAAAAGTTACTTTCCAAAGATGAGATTTTTTTCTCAAGAAATATTGCTGAGAGAAGCAACTGCATTTAATTCAAGAAGTGGAGGGCAAGGCTACATAAGCTGTCATTGCAGAAAGAAGTGTTCCATGACTAAATGCAGTTGTAAAAACAAGAGACTCTTGTGCAATTCAAAGTTTTATAACAGTTTAGGTTGTTGCAACAAATAAGACTGTATAACATCAGTTACATAATTAAGTTTATTATTGGTGTTGTTTTCTTTTCTCCTATTTTGACATTATCATAATATGTTTTAATAATAAAGTATGATTTAAAAACATAACGAAAATGTTTTTATTCAACATTCATCACCAGTGCATAGTGAATGCTGACATTTGCCAGTAGAAATAAGTATATTTAGCAAATATTTCAGACATACACCAAATGACTATGTGACGATATTCTCCAGGTTTCGGTCTTTCATGGTAACATTAAATGTAATAATTTTGTAAACAATGATTTGAGAATTTGAACATAGCAATAATAAAGTGTGGGAGAGAAGCCACAAAATATTTTTTAATCATGGCTGAGATGGTTATAGATGTTGTGGGCATCTAAATAGGATGTATCATAAATGGATGGAATTTAGAGACCAGAAAAAGTTGTAGACTCACCACATAAATTTATTCCTTAATGAATATTTTTTAGGACCCACATTCTTTTTTACACAACACTATGGGTGCAAAAAGCAGTCCACAATTCTGTATACAACTTAACACATATACATACTGTAATTTAATACCATGTGTCATTGTCAATTGTGCCTATAGTGGGCTCAAAAACATCAAGACTGGACCATCAATAAGTAGAAGACAGTTGCCAGTCAGTTGAATCATGGTTTTTCATTCATCTTGTCAATGGTCATATCAGGGTACTCTGTCTTCCAGGCGAACAGTTGCTCGCCCCCTGTCATACATAGGTTGGTGGTGGCAGTATTATGATTTGGGAGACATTCCTTATGGGTGGCTCTGGGACCCTTAGTTGTGGTAGGACAGATCATGAAAGCTGAGGGCTATCTGAACGTAATTGTGGATAAGTTGCACACTTACATGGTGTCTATCTTCCCAAGTGGAAATAGAATATTGCAGCAGGACAACGGCTGATGTTGCAAGGCTCTAATTATGTTTGAGTGGTTCGAGAAACATAAGAATGAATCCCACTTAATACCCTGGCTACCTAACTCACCGGATCGTAACCTGATAAAGCACATTTGGGATGTTATGGAACAGCAGTTCAGAACTGGAACACCACCATGTTGGATGTTGGGATATCTCAATTTTGCGCCACCGTTGCTTAGACATTTGGTTGTAACCTGTTTCCAGTCATCTGCCAAGAACTTGTGACGTCCATGCCAAGATGAGTTGCTGTTGTTTTGCATGCCAGAGGTCGTGTAACACATTATTGAGTAGGTGGTCACATTGTTTTGGCTTTTCAGTATATATAACTTTTTTTAAAATTTTATTAGTATTGTTTTATTTTGTTTTCTGTCTGTTTCGTAAATTTAAGTGTTCTGAATAAATTAAATATTTATATTTATATTCCAAAGTGATCTGTTATTTAAAATTTAAGTACATCCTAAAATATGATATAATTTCAGCCTTGGCTCAAAGCAGAAACTCATTTTTAAATTTTTTGAAAGAAAAACTTACCTTAAAACATAGATTTCATAAATGAGAAAGTATATTTTGACATTTTTCTCATTCAACATTTTTTTCTCTTCTACACTAAGCAAAATGATTTTGTAGTATGCATAATTTTAAACTAGATACATTATCATAGAGATGAGCTTGCTTTATTGAATCATACTATAGACCAGTTAATGTATTTAATGATTTATCTTTTCAATATTGAGGCACTAGCTAATTTTCTAGCATGAAACATTCTACAAAAGAATTAAAATTCTTCATGTTAATAGTTATCTGCAGAACAGCTTCTTCATGCTAGTAACCCACAAATATGATCTTCAGATTTTAACCTTTAAACGACTTTAACCAGATAGATGACTAAATATTCTTATAATTAAAAGGAGTTTTTAGATCACATTTTTTAGAATAGTACTGAACTCTGTAATAGCATCCAATTATGCTTCACCTGGCACAAGCATAATGGCCACTTGCCAATTCTGGCCTTCATCCAAGTGGCTTTCGAACGTAATTACAGTACACACTGCTTAACTGTGATCTCATTTATCCATGGCCATTTTGATAACATTAAGCAAGATAAAAAAATATCCATCAAAACAGCTATAGAATTTAACTAATTTAATACGGATACAAAAGAAATCGTATAAATAAGTATTTTCACAGAATTTGAAGTAGGAAAATGCAAAAAATTATTTATGAACTGCTCATAATGTCTTTAATGCAATACTTCATTTATGAACTGTTCATAACATTTCTGGAAATTATTTGACTAATACTAATGTATTATTCTTAAGCCTTATTCTTAATACTTGGAGGGTCTCGTTCATTTACTAGTAGAGAACAAAGAAATGTAAAATTTTAAAAATTAGGCAAAAAAGTAACCTAAGTTTGGTGCACATGTTTTCGTAGGAATGGGGGGAAAACATTCTGCAGAATTTTTCTGAAGAAGAAGGGACATATATTTGATCTCAAAATTAAGAGAGTTATTTAGAAGCCAAACTAAAGTTGCTTTTTTGCCTAATTTTAAATGGGTGGCTATAATTGAAAACAAGCTGTATGGCAGTATAATTCCGTACGTTGCTACACTTTTTAACTCTTGGCAACTTTTATAATCTGTTTTGATTTTATTTGGTGATTATACTTCAGTTTAAAAAATCGGTAGTACGTAGATCCTGTTAACTGAACTATTGATCCCGAGAAGCAATGTATTTTCCATGTTTTCGCATACAAACTTGCAGGAGTCCAGCAATTTGATAACAATATCCAAATGATGCAGTCAAAGTAAGTGGTCTCTGTTGTTACCCCGTCTGACCATTTTTACACTTACAACTTTTTATTTAATGAAGATATGTGCATCGCTTCAAACATGTTTCTTTTTTTATTGCTTTAGTTATATGTTCTGTGTGCCAGTCCCTGTGGAGCAGTAGTTAATTGTTAATTATTCTGTGTGCCATTTCCTGTAGAGCAGTAGTTAATTGTTAATTATTCTGTGTGCCAGTACCAGTGAAACAATAGTTGCAGCAGTTAATGGAGCAGCAGGTTTTGTGCTCTAAACGTAATTTTAATCAATCTGTGAAGAAACCATCACATTTAAAATTTTTCTTTAATTTTGAATTCTAGTATATAAGAATATTTTAATCGTTTTATAAATTGATCTGTATGTCAAAAGTATTAAAATGTACACTGCGGAAAAAAAGGGGGGACAGTTCTGTATCTCCCTTTCTACAGGTCTGATTGACAAAATTCAACTTGCGTTTTTCATGTCTCGAAAGCGCGACTTAGGATGTGTATTAGATTTATGTATAGCATTGTTCAAATACAGGTATTTTGACACAAAATCGGACTTATTCTGAAATAACATAGGGATTTTTCCATATTTCGATTCTACGACTCATATTACGCCAAACTACCAAGTTTTGTAAAAATTGCACAAGTAGTTTTTAAGAAATTAGCAAAAATTTAGCTTCTCAATGTTGATTTAGTATATATTTATTAATTTCTCTTTTTTTTATTAAACGTATTTGATTCTTCTTTTCACATTTCGAAATTTAGGTTCATTCCAAATAAAATTCACCCATTTTTTATGATTTCTTTTTAAAATTTGTGTTTTTAAATAATTTTTATAAATTTTTCAAAAACATTTTTGAATTATAATCTATAAAATGTTTATTATCATCTTAAAGTAGACGTATTTCTAAGCATACATGCAAAAAATTAGAGTTTTTTATTCAAAATTTCTGAAGATATATGTGAATTTATATATTGGTGCATTTTGAAATTTAACATATTTGTTGAAAGCAATAAAATATCAAATGTGGTGTAGACACTTTTCTAAAATTATTTGGAAGTAGAAACGATGTGACTTTTTCCCCGCCCATGCACAATGTAAAAAGGTAGGGAAAAGCTGCCCTTTTTTCCACTCCGCCATAATGGTAGGGAAAGGAAAATTGGTTGCCACATATTAAGAAGTTCGCCAAGTGAATTATTATTGACGGAAACTGAAAACATCGTGCCAAGATAAATTTTTGAATTTCTCCTTAAATTTTGCACCAAATTTTACAAAATTTAATATCTAGTCATGATTTGAGTCGTAGAATCGAAATAAAAAAAAATATGTTATTTCAGAAAATGTACGATTTTGTGTCAAAATACCTATGTTAGTACAATGCTATATATAAATCTAATATATATCCTAAGTTGCACTTTCAAGACATGAAAAATGCAATTTTAATTTTGTCAATCGGCCCAGTAGAACGGGAGATGCATAAGTGTGCCATTTTTTCCTTCGCCGAGTACATGTCATAACTAATGTTAAATATGTATTTAAAGTATTATTTTCTTACAGACCAGTATTTTATTATCGTGGCAACGAACTCATGGCTGTGAGATATGGCCTTTATAAGGCTCATTTCTGGTGCTGGACAAATTCCTATGAAGAATTTCACCAAGTAATATTTCTTTAGAAAAATAATACTTGAATACATTTTCTCTCAACTTTACAAAAGTGCACAGTAAAATATTAATTTTAAAGTGACCAGATTTTTTCTAAAACCAATTTGGAGTAAGATAATCTTATCAACTTAAAAAGAATAGAACACAATTCCAGTATGATATTTAAAGAACTTAAGCTAAATTCTTCACACAGTTCTCAGTCTGTATTGTATTTTTATTCCATCAGCATTTTTCAAGCAAAGTAACGAAACAATCAGATACTCAGAAACAGTTACATTCTAAAAGATTTTCCCTGACACTTACTGGCTTTAAATATTTTGTTTTTGTATAATGAGTGGCTAAACACTTGCCATATTTCAGAACGTCTTCATGTTTGTCCTGGATTTCAAAATATTGTTTAGTTGGATTTTGTCAGTTACCTACATAATATTTATTTTCAAAATACAGATTTTATTGCTGAAGTTCTTCCAATAAGTGCAGTTTAATTCTTAATGTTACAGATGTAAAGTGGAGACATACATACTCTGAAAATGGGAAAATTTTCAATCCATTTTTGCCTCAGCTATACCTAATTTGTTGGCAGAAAAGTTTCTTTATCAAAGTATTTTTGATAATCATGCAATGTACCAATTTTATTTATTTAGCATTACCTTTTGCAGTCATTGTATTGCAAAGTCCAATATGAAAGCTATTGATTATTTTATTAAACTCTTGCTACTAAATTATGAAATTATTGAAATTTAAATTGAAGTGAAGAATAAGTGGCAGCCCAAATTTCATGAACTGCTGTGTTGGATAACGATTTTGTCCTAGTAACCCAACCCCCCCTTTTTTTAAAGTTTTTAGTAATTTTATTTGAGAAACTTTTTTGGGGTGGGGAGGGGAGATAATAGGAATTAATGAGGTAGTGAAATACTAGAACAACAGTAATGTATCATACAGTACAAAGTCCGTAATCCGGACTTGTTGGGACTTCGGTGATTCCAGATTAGGGGTTTTTTTAGATTATAGATCATCAATTTAAATCTGGTAAGATGACATGCAGAAATTATACAATTCAAAATATGAAACCATAATTTGTGAAATGAAGAGCAATTATGATCTAAAGGGTATCAAATTTTACAAAAAAAAAAAAAACTTAATATTTATTTGTTTACTTTATTAAACATTTCTTTCAACATGCGCATGTGTAAAGCATACAAAAAATAAGTTTGTGGCTTTGGGGTTCAGATTATAGATCGTTCCGGATTATGGACTTTGTACTGTATATCTATGCAGGGTGATTCAGAATTCATCATCAATATTTGGTGGGGAGGTAGGGAATAGGAAAAGAAGGAGATTTCACATAGGAATACATGGGCACATATGCCATGTATTAGGGCAAAATGACCCTAGTTCAAAGATGGAAAGAACACATAAGAAGGAAGTAGTAAGGACAAAAACATTTATTATCTTACATGTAACATTTCTTTGCATCGGTTTTACCGACTTGCAAGAAGTGCTCGAACTGCTGACCATGTGCTAGAATGCATGACTCACAATGGCATTGCATGGACAACCAGACCTTCTGGAATATGCCTGGCATTTACATACATATTTTCAAGTTCATTCCACCTATACCGGTTCATATTACTTCTGCAAAGTCGCCTAGTTGAATGATGGCTGCACACGTCAAACAGCTGTGCTTATGTATGGAAGTTATGTACACACAGCGCCCTCTACACAACCATGCGTTCGTCTGCACCCATACTTTCCTATGTGAAATCTCCTTCTTTTCTATTCCCTACCTCTCCATCAAATATTGATGATGAATTCTGAATCACCCTGTATAATGTTCAATGTGTCCAATGCTGATACCATAAGTGATATTGCATTTGTGCAAATCTCAGATTTTTTTAACTAAAAACAGCTCACTATGTGCACTAATGCAGAGACAAACAATAATGCATATGATATAATATATGTAGTGTTTAATTTGTGTGATGCAGAGTTTAGGCAATTCTCTGTTGTTGTTTTTTTAAATGAAATCAATCGCTGTGTATATGGGGAGAAAACAGTAATGCCTAGAATAAAATATACAGTAAAAAGTCTGAGATCCGTAATAATAAGTTGATGTTTTTCCTCGTAATAAAACATGTGGAGAATTCTGATTCTTAATTTCACTTTGACATTAAATGAAATACCTCGTTATTGAAGAAACAGTCATTTTAGCATAAATTTGTGTGATCCATAATTTGGCTTCTTAGCTGCATATTTGCTTGGCATACATCTCAAACCGAAGCACTCTACATAGAAACATTGTTGACTTTACTAATATTTTACGTAGGTTGTTTTTTTTTTTTTTTTTTTTTTTTTTTTCAACCTCATAGCACAGTATGATGGCCAGGTATGTGGCAGGTGGTTGGTGTGCGTAATAGGCGACTGCGCATCTCCCCCTCCACACGCTCTGTCACTGGCGTATTCAACATGCCATTTTCTGTTGAGTTGCAGTCACGTAAACATGGCTGTCGCTATTGATTCTCCTGCCAAGTGTGAATTGTGAGCTGTTATTCGTTTCTTGCAGGCAGAAGGGAACAGTGCAGAGGAAATTTATCGAAGAATGAGTCGAGTGTATGGAAACAGCTTTATGAGTGATGGCGTTGTTCGTGAATGGTGTCGAAAGTTTAAAGATGGCCGAACCGATGTGCATGATGAAGGGGGTCAAGGACGCAAGTCTGTCGCTACAGACGACATTGTTCAACGAGTTGACCAAGCGGTTAAGCAAAATCGAAGGTTCACCATAAGTGAATTATCGATGAAATTTCCGGAAGTTTCAAGATCTTCCCCGTACTCTATCGTTACTGAACAGTTGCGCTACAGAAAAGTTTACGCTCGCTGTGTCTCACAGATGTTGACTGACGACCACAAAACTCGCCCAATGGTTGCAGCGTTTGAGTTTTTGACCGTTACAATACTGACGGAGAAGAGTTTTCGAAATCCATGGTGACAGGTGATGAGACATGGGTTCAATATGACACGCCCGAAACGAAACGACAATCGCAACTATGGATGCACACAAATTCTCCAAAGAGACCCACAAAATTCAAACGAACCTTTATGGCAATTGTTTTTTGTAACGTAAGGTTATGGCAACTGTTTTTTGGGACCAAAAAGGTGTGTTGCTTTTGGAGTTTATGCAGCCAAAACAACAATTAATGCAGATTCATATTGTGAAACTTTGCAACACTTATGGAGATCTATTCAAAACAAACAAAGAGGCATGCTGACTTCTGGAATTGTTCTGATCCACGACAATGCCCGTCCTCACAGCGCTCGTGTAACCCAACGGCTCCTTCAGCAATTTCAATGGGACATTTTCAAACATCCACCATATAGTCCTGACCTAGTGCCGAGTGACTTTCATCTGTTCCCTGAACTGAAGCAATGGCTTGGCGGGAAGAGCTTCCAAAATGACGTGGAGCTGAAAGAAACGTTCACAACTCACTTCCAATCATTGGTGGGGACGTTTTATGAAGAGGGTATTGCAAAGCTTGTTCACAGATATGACAAATGCCTCAGTCATCAAGGTGATTATGTAGAGAAGTAACCTGTATTGTACATTACTTTTGGTAATAAAATCTTTTTTTTATATTCTCCCGTTTTATCTTTAAAGCCCATCGGAGGTTGAAAAAAAAATAGCCCTCGTATATCCCTGATGCCAACCTGGTGTATCATTATTATATTTTGCTTCCATCACCGCATGTTTATCAACACATGATAACTTGAGTAATGACTCATGCAGCGATGACTAAATAATTTTTTTTATATATTAATAATTGAATAGCAAAAAGTATGGTAACTTTTTATATTGACATTACGCTTGGCAATGAACAGTTTTAAATTAAATGCTAAGAGGAAAAATATAGCAAAAATTTCTTTCCATATGCTAAAAGCATATTTTTTGAATGATACTCATAGACCAAAAGATCATATTTAGTGGTATTTGAATTAAGAATAACTGATTTATTATTCACATTAACACAGAACCGGCGCTAGAGCTCATATGGTCGCATGGTTAACGGATGGCGGAATCTGTAGTATGGTTCTAGACCCAGAAAACACCACTACCAATACTGAAGAAAGAGACAGAGAAGTTATTGAAGACGAAAAAATTTCGATTGGCAAGTTAGTCGGAATTCTCGACACACCAATTATAGGACTTGAACAAAGTAGAACTTCGTAACTGAACAAAAAGCAATGTCTGTTTATAGAATTAAAGATAAAAGTATTAGCACAAAAATCGGAGCAACTTAAACAACTTACATTGAAAGAAATGCTTGATAAAGTAAACAAATAAATATTAAGCCCCTTTTTTTAAATTTTGACACCCTTTAGATCATAAATGCTTCATTATTTCATAAATCATGATTTTTATTTTTTAAATTTCTACGTGCCGTCTTACGTTTAAACTGGTGATCTGATATCCGGAAAATTCGGAGTCGCTGAAGTCCCGACGAGTCCGGATCTCAGACTTTGCACTGTATAATGTTTAAAGTAAGTCTCTGATGTTTTAGCAGAAACAGATTGCTGTATACATGGCAAGAGCAACAGCAATGCATTGTATATTATGCTTAATGTATCATTTGTGTATTTTCAATTTGCAGTATAATATTAATTTTAAATTGCATTTTTCATCATCATTTTTGTATTTTTAATTATTTTATTTTTATATGTTGATAATGTGCGAGTTATGATAAATATCAGAGGTTTTGCAATCATTTTCAAAAACTTGTTAAAAACTCCGATTCCCCCCCTTTGTAAGTATAATTTTAAATTCAGTGAAATTAAAAATTTTAATGGGTTATTAAATTATGTAAATGGAATTATTTTTCTTTCTGTATTTGTATATATTTTCATTAGCATTTCAGTGGTGCCATCTGTGAAAGAACTAACAAAAAATATTAGATCACATACTATATTGCTGCGTGCAAGTATTGTTGCGTGCGCCAAAAATTGTTGTTCATAAGGGTTCGTTTGAATTGAATGCGCAAGTCTGATGAAAAATGAAAAAAATTTATTATTATCACAGCAAATAAAACAAAATGCTTCAATTTCCTCAGATATTCGTACAGTATTACAATATCTCACAGTAGTTATCTTTTAACTACTCAAACATTCAACAGAACTTAATTCAAAACAGCTAGGGAAAGCTAATCCATGAATTCACTACAGTCAACAAGAGCAGTTTTCTAAACAAACTCTTAAATCAATGACTAACTAACTGAATTGATCACAGATCATCATTCATGTAAAAGGCATGTGGTCTCTTGAGACCTTTACCAGTCTATATTTCTTAAGTTCCTAATGGCATAAAGATGAGGGGGGGGAATCTGTACAAGCGGAAAGACTTAAAGCACTAGGTGCAAATCTCATAAGAGAACTGAATTGAGAAGTTTTCCTCCTTTTTATAAGCATTTTAAATAATGTGTGAGATTTTTCTAGCAATTATGTTTATGTTAGAATTTTCATAATTATGTTTTTTAAAGAAGGCATTTTAAAATATAAAAATTTTGTAATGCATCATTCATAAACACAGCAAATTTCAAACTTTTCACTATTATTAAGACATTTAAAAGTTACTTATTCTTTACAAAACTTGAAGACTCCACAACTTTCTCTAAATACCAGCATATCCATCATATTGGTTTATCAGTTGAGGAAACTGGTGTTTATTCTTCACCAGTGGCCAAAAGATTTGCCAATTAGCAGTTATTGTAGAAAAGACCTCCGTTCCTTCTGACCACATTCCCTAGGCAACTGGCTGTTTTCGAACTGCTGTCATTCCATTATAAAAATTAAAAGCATACTCTATTTTATGAAACAATAAAAATACTTCGATTTTTTTAAATGTATTTTTTCATAAGGTGAGAGCCTTCAACGTTTATCTTGAAAACATTAAACAGGGTTGCCACGCTACCTGGAAAACCGGGAGAACCGGGAAAAGTCAGGGAATTCAAAAATTGACCAAAATATTCAGGGAAAAATCAGGGAATTTAAGTATTTTTGTCAAAATCTGGAAAAGTCAGGGAGGTTCATACAACTGGATCCCGCCAAAAAAAGCGATTTTTGCGCCGACGTCGAAAGAGATAAATTTTTTGGCGAATTATGTATCACGTGAGTGTCATTCGGGTAGCTGGCATAGAGCCAATTTTCGCAGCTCCGATTTGATTGTCTTTTAGAAAGGCAAAGCAACTTTCCCGCAACTTTTGGTTTCCAGTATTCTCGAGAATCGCATGTGCAATGCATGAACTAAAGAAAGTACCTGTTCTCGTATAAAACAAAATGGGTTGGTACTTTTCCGTTTCGCCGGCGCAAATCTCGCCAAGCAGACTTTATTGGCGACAACACACAGACGCTTAACACAAGTTAGTTCTAAGATATTTTTATTTTGAAGGTATGAACATTTTAATATGGCTTAAAATTTTGTAAAAAGACATTAATTTAAGAATTTTTCTACGCTTTCATGGAGCAACGCCCTGATTAGCAGTTTCTTATCATGTGACTCTAAGGGATCTCATCTCACGTAAACTCCGCTACAAAAAATCTAATTCTCTCAGTAATTATCTACATTCATTTCAAGTTATATCTTAATTTGGAATACAAGTTTAAATTGAAGAATTATTTCAATTCGTACGAATAGCTTACTCCGAAATTATGTAACACCGCAGTGCTTTAATTTCGCTAGTGCAATCTCATTAGAATGGATGAATTTAACCCTTAACTTTGCCTTTTCTATATTTTCGCCTTCGGGTGAGTGGTGTGATTGCATCCTAATTGACTTAATTACCGCGAATGGCCTTAGGGTATAAAATTGAACTATCTGGGTTAAAATTCTATGTAATTGTATGCCAGTATTGAAAGAAACAATCAATCTGATGAGAAATGGCTGCGAATTGTTTTGAAAATGAGGCGTAAAAGATTACCAGCGAGGATATTTCGTTTGGTAACGGTTGTATCATTTTTGGCGACTTTATTGCTTGCGCCGGCAAAATGGAAAAGTACCAATGGGTTTAATCCTAGTATACGGTACCATGGAGGTTAGAATCAAAGAATATGTATTGTAAAGAAGGAAAACCTCTCTGCAACAGACGTGGCTTCGTTCCATCATAGAGGGAAACAGCTGTGCATGTCTGATATATCTGTTGCCAAAGCTCGAAACCGGTGCTGAAGTTCGAAGGTCACGTTGTCAAGAGTTCATAAAATGAATATCGTTTAAAATTTCTTTAACGACTTGCGCTAAAAAGACGTGCCACGCACGTCGAGATGCTTTTGTCTCAAACCGTGAGCGATGTGAACACCACGTCGATAAGCATTTATCGCAAAAATGAAAATAACGTGGTGCACACGTCGCCTAACAACGAGATTGTTTATTTCTCGAGTTACAGCTCTGGATTGCACTCGCAGATGCGGAGCGGCGTAAATGAGACACTTTACCGCTTGTTATATTGTAGCGCACGGCACCGCAACCGTGAAGTTTAGTCTTAGCGCAAGTGGTTAAACTCTAAAGGAAAAGAAAATATTTTTTGGCGCAAGTAAATTAATTCATGGATTAGTTATTTTCAGGGGGAAAAAAATCCGTTTTAAAACTACGAAAATCCGTTTTTTAAAACGGATTTTCGTAGTTTTCTTTTTGTCAAAGAGCGTTTCTTCTTAACACGTGTTTCTCAATATCCTGTACACATCGCGGAGAGGAAAATTCTGGCCGCCAGGTTCCGTCGCCAAATCCCTTGGCAAATTTTTCCTCCGCATTTCTAACGGCGTAATAGCATTTTACTTGTATGGAACCTTTTCTTCTTTACATAGACGTTCTTTGGTTAGAATAATAATGGAGATTTGGCGACATCATGATGCGCAGTAGTAAACGGGTCATTTTGGTCTTGGCGACAATTTTCAAAATCGTGCCAAAGCCTTACCGTATACTAGAATTTTACCGCAAAATCTTTTTTAAACCTTTTTTTCTTTCTTTTTAATAAATACCTTGCCATTTTGCAGTAAAATAAAAAAAAATAGTAATCAGTCATCTAGGCTAGCCATGTAATATAACTATATTCGCTAAAATATCGTTGATTATTCTAATTCAATTTTTAAGTAATTATTTTTTATGTTATTCATATAATTTAATGTTGCTTCTTCCCTCTAAATTTATTTATTATTAGTAAATAATATTTCCAAATTTCAGGAAATTTTCTCTGGCATAATCCTGAAAATTAATTATAGCAGTATGATGACATACCATCACGAAATTTAATGCACATATTTTTTCCTTATGTATGCTGCGAAATAAATAAAATAAAATACCTCAATTTTATTAAAATAGATTTCTTTCTTTCGTTTAGCTGCAGAATGTCTGCAAAAAAAAAAAAAAGCCTTATTTTATTCCAGATTGGGAAGATTCTAATCTCAATCTTCAGTGGAGAAAAAAAAAACAACTATTATAATTATATTTGTGTTTTTTCAAGTGTTAAGGTGCTTTTTAAGAACATACCTCACGCAAATTAAATTTACCTAAAATCTAACCTAACTATTTAGCATTGCGTTGTGATTTATAAGGACCGGATTAGCCTCGTGTTGAACTGGTGATGATCATGAGTAATAATTAAATAAAACATACATTTGTTATCCAATGTATATATCTTAAATTTTTATTAAGTGGAAAACTAAACAAAATTATCAAACAAAGTATACCAAGAATAATTAAGAATAAATGTCCTCTGGGATTTATTGAATAATTAAGTGAATTTGCTACACAATACAAGTAATACCATAATTAATTTACCTCTTAGCACAGCCAACGTACATTACGCGGATAGACTGGAATTTTCTTGAAACACACCTGGAAAACCTGGAAAAGTCAGGGAATCTCATTCTCCTGTTTGAGTGGCAACCCTGATTAAAGAAATTACTAGAATTTAAAATTTCAAACAATTTCATTTTTAAAATATAGTTAAAACTAAAAAATATAAATTCAAAGAAATTAAAATAATAATACAAAAATAGTATTCGTATTAACCTTCCCTAAGTAAAATCTACAAATTACTTACCTAATTTTTATCAAATTCAATAATTTTCCCAATTCAGAAATACGAAACTACACTTTAAATAAATCGTAATATTTTTGAATTATTAACTTTGATTTTAAAATGATTTAAGCAAAACACTGCTATCAATAAATTGCAAAACAATGCAATTACTTATAATGCAAAGTAATTTTAAAAACACAATTTAGTACTTAAAGTGACCACATTTTCATTGACACAAAGCGGGACAAATGGAATGAAATAAGAATTATAATTTAGTTATGAAAGCAGAACAATAATTCAAAAAAATATTTTTTATTATATACATTCATATACTTGTCTATAAATATACAAAAATATATTTATTATTAACTATTGGTAACTATAAAAGTATTTGTAAAAAACAATAATCTGAATATTATGTTTTTTTGCTTAGTTTAATATTTTATTTTTAAAACAATTGATTTTCTTTCACGGTTATATTTTTTATCCGAGTGAATACTTTGCAATAGATTCGGATCATTTATTAAAATGTCATGAAATTTCTCACATGAATTGGTCAAATTATATTTAAGCTTAATACAGATTTTAAAGTTTTAATGTTCAACTGCATTTTTTTCAATTGTCCATATTTTATTGATACTAGAAAAAACATGTTTTGTTGCTGCATTTGTTCCTAGAAGTGAGAGCCCATGTTCTACAATTTTCAAAATACTTTCATAAGGAATATTATTCTGCTTAAAATGAGGGAATAACTCCATCCATTTTTTATGTTTCCACATTTGCAGACAACCAACGTTTAATTTTTTCATCAGTAACGTATCTTTTTACTAATCGCACCTTATCAAAAAGATCATTTTCGTAAATATTATTTTTTGGAAAATGGTTACTAATATACAGTCAAAAGTCGTTAATTTGGACACCCATAATCCGGAATGATCTGTAATTCGGACCTCAAAGCTACAACCTTTCTGCGTATGCGTCGCGTTGACGCATGCGCGTAAGACCTTTACCGCTGCGAATTTGCGCGTGCGCAAAATACGTTTACGAATGCGCGTTTAATGTATAACGGACGGGATAAGCTAAGCTAAAATTATCTAATTATCTATTTCAGTTATGTTGCAGATTGCGTTGTTCCTTAATCTTCGAATTGGATCCGGCTTATTATTTTTTGCAGACTGTTAGAGCAATTTTATAAAAGTAAGCTTGAACTTTGGATTATGTCAAATAGAATTTTCGATATATATTTACTAATATGTAAAGGATATCCGAAAGTATCTTTCGGAGTCCATTACACACAAAAAGTGGAATTGCTGCAAAAAATGGATAAAGGCATATATATTTGTTTATCTAAACTTTAACGCTTGTTTATCTAAACTTTAACGTTTTGTTTATCTTTAACACGGCGTGCAATGAATTCACTATCCTTATCTTTAAGGGCAGATGTTTTTTTATTTTATTTGGCTTATAATTGCTTACTCTATGTGTAGTATTCATCTCGATTGTACTCTATCTTTGATATGATTTAAATCAAATGCCTCGTCATTATAATTCGCTTCCGATAGCGAAGAAAGGAGCGAAAGAAGAAAAGTGACAGAGGTTATTGAAAACGAAAAAAATTTCGATTGACAAATTAGTCGGTATTCTCGACACAGCAAATTATAGGACGTGAACAGCGGAACTTTGTAACTGAACAAGAATTATGTCTGTTTATTTATAGAATTCAAGAAGAAGAGAATGTATTATCACATAAAAAAAAAACGAATCAACTTAAACAACTTACATTGAAAGAAATGTTTAATAAAGTAAACAAATAAATATTAAGCTTTTTTTTTTTTTTTTTTTTTTTTTTTTTTTTTTTTTTTTTTTTTTGTAAATTTTGATACCCTTTAGATCATAAATTGTTCTTTATTTCGTAAATTACGGTTTTTTATTTTTTATATTTTTAATTTATAATTTCTGCATGCCATTTTACCAGATTTAAACTGATGATCTATAATCCGGAAAAATCGATAATTCGGAATCGCCGAAGTCCCGACGAGTCCGGATTAACGACTTTTGACTGTATTAAAAAGATTTTTCCACATATTCCCATAAACATAAAATCTCCTTTTTTAATGTCACCCAATGAAAGATTTTAATATCCTGGAACTGAACTGTCCATTCTTCAAGATATTCCAAACTGTTATTATAAAAGTTTCTGATTTCTTTCAGAAAATCAGGTCGTTTAATATGGCACCTTGTTCTTCCAACCTAGTGATGTACTTTCGAATAACTAAAGGAATGTAATTGTTATCAATTCTTTCTCTCAATTTTGTTTTTAAATTATTGATTTCATATGACTCTTTTGTAGTTGAAATTTTGTCCCCTTCAATAATTTTCACAGCATTTTGAAATAATGTAGCTTAGACAAATTTGTGATGTGTCATTTTCAAAAAACAGCTGCAACATTCATGGACATCATGTGATAAATATGACTTTAATGGTATAATATGATTTCAATGATAAAAAATAAATTAATGATAAAAAATATGATTTTAATGGTTCATATATTTTTTAAATATTTTCTACAGCTGGTAAAAGAGCTAGCCATCGTGTTTTGCTGTAATCAATAATTCTTTTATATTCGATTTCAGCACTTTCACAAAAATCCTTCAAACTTTCGACACACACACAGTATATATATATATAAAAATACGAATAAATTTTTTAAATAATATTTTCAACATCCACTGGAAGTAAGTCAGATGCTGTTTGAATAGTATTGTATAGAAGGTGCACTGCACAACCTACTCGAATAATTTTTTGGGTCAAACGTTCATTAAGTTTTGTAAAAACGTTATTGATGCGTCTTCTAGCTTTTCCATCAAAATTTGGGTTAGTGTCAACAATAAAATTATTCCCTCACAATAGGCAATAATTTTATTGTTCAAATTATTCTTTTTTAAAATACTACTTATTGAATCAAAAATTATATATAAAGTTTCACCTGGCAGCCGCCTAGACGGTATAGTGGTTAGGGGAGCCTGACTGCGATACCAAAAGGCCTGGGTTCAAATCCCGAAGAAGCCATGGTTGTAACTGTCTGTCCCTTCATAGGAGGGAATGGCGGCCCATTTATTAGATGTCTCCATAATAAAGAGACCACCACATCTGGCCTTAGTATAGATTAATGGACTCTGTAAGTGTTCACAGTCTGCCATTGGGAAAAAAAAAAGTTTCACCCGGCAATGAAACAAAATCTAACATTCTAAATTTCTAAGTTCTTAGAATGAATTCCTCATTTTTCTTCTCCATATAGTTATTCGACCATCGGTACCAAAAATGTTAAATTTGCTTTCGTCAGCTAATAGGACATTATTCCAGTACGTTTCGAGAGTATTTATCATTGAATTTGTGAATGAAAGCCTAAGCTTTCAGTCTTTCTCACTAACAAAATTTTTTACAGGCAGAACGCCCATGTAATCCAGCTTATCTGAGAACTTGTCGAACAGTTTCAGGTGAAATTGAAGTAGAAAACTTTGCATTAAATTCTGCAGATACTTTTACAGCACTCAAACATGGGTTTTTCTAATAATAAATCTCTCATCACGTTTAGTTAACTTTCTCAGTCAACCTTTTCTTACCTTGTTTTGAATCCGATTTTCTTCTGTAAAGTGTTTTATCACATACTGAACTGTAGAATGGGATAAATTAACTAATTTAACAATATTTCAAATTGATTTACCACTACTGTGGTGAAAAATTATGAATTTTCGAATGCTGTTTGTAATTTCTTTACGATTGCGACCCATTTTTCAATAATAAATAGAATATTATGAAGTGAACAATAAAAAATTAAAGCAAACGCTTGCCACCACAATGCAAAAATTAAAAAAAAGTGGCAAACATTAATTGTAATTTTGGTTTTATCCAAAAATATTTCAGTGTACGAAGACTTTTGTGAGATAAAATGTTTGTCATTTTTTTATTATTAATTTCTTAAAAATAAAGTTTTGCTATATTTTAAAAATATTTCATGTAATTTTGTTATTAAAATCTCATTCAGACAGCTTACTTTTAATTTTGGATAGATTCCTATTTCAATGAAAATCATAAGTGTACGAACACTTTTAGGAGCCACTGTAGTCATTATGGATCAACACGTCTACGCTATAGAAATTCTTGCTCTTCAGTTACTTCTCACTTTGTTTATATAACATATATACCCACCTTTTATTTTCAGAGTCATGCGTTGTAGTTATAGAATTGTTTTAAATGAAGAAATATTCATGTTTGGGCAATGTCAAATTTAAAAGAAAAACAACTTAATTTTGGATAAATAACAAAATCTAACTTTTAATGCTGTCTCCTGGTTCCTATACCCATTATGAAAGAAACTCAGTTTTACATTTATACTTTCACTTGTATGCTTAAAAAGCTTTTATACTCGTTATGAAAAAATAAAATTATAAGAAAAAAATAAAATACAAGAAATTTGACTCCTGTCCAACAAAAATTGACTGGGATATTTAATTTCAAAATTTACAATTTTTTATGTCATTTTGAACTTGTTTCGAGGGATCAGTTAATTGAATTAGAATAATTTAAGGAAATAATTTTAAATGATGTGCAGCAAAAAATGTGTAAAATTTAATAGCCAAGTCATGAAGTTTTTTTTTTTTTTAACAAACTCAAGAATTCAAAAGCGAGCAGTGCCAACACTATTCAAAATAAAATTCCCAGCATGTCAGACTTGCCATTTAGTAAAATGTAATCTTTTACTTTTAATCAACAAACTCAGCTATTTAAAAACAATGTGTTGCTACTACCCAAAATAATATACTTTTTATCTTCCATGCACGAGCATATTGCCATTCAGTAAGGTACAGGATATTTAACTTCCAAATTTAATCTGTCTGTTATTGATTAACAAACCAACAGTTTAAAAGCAATAAATGTAAATCTTAAGAGAATTTTTTCTAATTTTTAATCTAATTGATTTAAATAAAAATGCATTTAACTCTTTCACATCGAAGTCGCCCTAAATGCCTGAGCATTCAGGCATCGGCAGGTCGCCCGACCGCCTGAATAATCTCCTACTTAGTGCTTTCCCCATCACGTTACTGCATTGCTCATTGCTTTCAAGAGTTGTTAAATAACGTGTCAATCATTCTTTTCAAGCGACTTAAAGTAGTTCTGTTACTTTCATTTGTTTACTGTCAATGTTTAGCTGTTGATACCCGAAGTTGCAATCCCATTCCAAGAATGAATTTCACACAGGGTAAAAGCGTCCAAGAAAGTTGTCGTCGCTTTACCTAAATAGGTTATTGTTAACGCTGTAATATTCAATTTGTCATGGGGAAAGGAAACGCATTCCAACAAAAATTCGTATACATGGGCGTTTTCGATTTTTGAGTAAAAGAAATTTGGTCCTCTCTCGATGCGAAAGAGTTAAAGCATGAGCATTCTAGTTTAAAATATTAAAATATTTTTATAAAATGACAATAGCTGGACTCATTAAAACCATTATGTATTTCTTTCTTTTTTATAATTATTACTTTAAGCAGCTAGCTGCATAATTGATTAGTTAGTACAAATGTTTAATTTTTTATAGGGAATTGATTTTTGCCCTGGTATGGATTTGAAAGGTATTACAAGCCATGAACAACTTAATCATACTGCACAACCTCTTCTTTTTCATCTTGGAAGAGATCCTGGAGAAAAATATCTAATTAAGTATGTTGATGTTTTTGTTTTATCATGATTATCTATTAGAAATTACTATAATATTAATTAATTATCATCGTTAGACATAAAATTTGTAAGTTTTTTTACTGATCATTTGAGTTATCCCCATCTATCTAATCAGTAGTTTAACATTTTGCATATGGGAGATATAAATTTGCATAGCTTACTACAGTTTCTTGGATAGATTGCTGAACAATTCATCCCAATTTCAGTTTGTAGCAAAGATAGAAACCTACTTCCATAATTTTCTATATGTTGTCATCAGGAGAAGCTAATTTCTCTCTTTAAAAGTTTGAGCCCTAGTTGCTGAGTGATAAGATTGCTGAACACTGGTAGTTCACCCCAAGTTTATGTCCTGATGAATGGGCTAGTAGCATGAGAGTTTTTGTAATTTTTCACATGTGTAGCATGAATATGAACCAGTTTTCTTTAAAGAGATCCTCCATGAAATCATCCCTTCCCTTAGACAAATAGTCCACTTGCATTTTCCCATAATCCAAAGAACTTAACCTGACTTTTTCAAAATTCTCAGTGTGCTTTGTCAGAATTAATTAATCAACCAAATCACACAAATTTAATTTATTTAAATAACTAAAATTTAGTTTGGTTTTTCTTTTTTTTTTTTTTTTTTTTTTCCCCTGGGACCAGATTCAGTAATGCATTATGTGTGCGTGTATATGTACATGCACACATATACATACATTTCGGAATTCGGTCCCAATAACAGAAGTATCCAAATTTATTTTGAAACAACCCGTGCTGGTTTTTAATTCGTTAAACATAAGTACAAAATCAAATTGCATTCCATAGAATCAAGTTGGCAGAGGTATCATCTTCAGTCAACATTAATGACAATTAATGATTACTCTAAATGTTTAATATAACTAAAACGAGTTCTTGCTATGAAATTGAAGATACATCTACTTTTTAATGATAAAATAATAGTTACTGAACATTTGTGTGTGCATAAATTTCATTGTTTGTATATTCAACCTCCCTTCTTTTACTCTTTGTGAGATAGTTTAGTGAAATTATGCACATTTTAAATACTGACTAAAACTTTCAGTTAAACTTTTTCAAGTGTCTGGTTCAAATTAGTATATACCACACAAACAAGTACTTTAAACTTGGCAAACAGTTCTCTCCTTTTACCTTCATTTTAAAAGTGGATTAAACTGGTATTAAAATTTTCATTTTATTATTTTATGATTACTTTTGATAAGCATGTATGATATTTTCTCTCTTTTATAAATGCTTCGTTCATTAAATGCTAACAAGAAAAATATGTTTAATAAAAATGAAATACAGCAGAAATAAAAGAAAAGCAGTTTTTTTTTTTTTTTTTTTTTTTTTTTTTTTTTTTTTAGGAAAAGATTGCATGGATACTATCTTTGACTAAATCACTACTTCTAACTTATTTTTCAATATTACTAGATTACCGAACTCATTATCTTTATTTAATATCTGCAATGAGCAGACATTGAATAAAGGTCCAATCAGTACCTTCTTAGAAAATACAGTTCTTTAGTTTAGATAAGCGAGAGTCCAGAGTCAAATCAGAAATAAATATTGCATGTTTATAAAAGGAAATTATTGCATACCATAAACTAAAACAAATTAATAAGGCCATTGGTTATTCCTAGAAAATATTGGGGGGGGGACTTTTTCTTCCCTGGAGGATCCTGTTCTCAGGAGAAGAAATGCTATTTGTGTCACAAATTATTGTGATTATGATAAAATGGATATATTTCCTTAATAATATAAATATTTTAATTTTTCAGTCCTAATTCCAATGAATATAAAGCCGCATTAGGAACAATTTTCAAAGAAGTATACAAACATAAAAGCACCCTGATTCCAGGAAAGCCACAGTTAAATATCTGTGATCAAGCAGTTATGGTAAGTTCATTTCGGCATATTGCATATGTATACATATTGTGCATATCATACGATGGACGCAGCTCAACCCTCCTGGCAGACTTTACGTTGCCCTATGGCCTTTTTGTGAGCTGCGCCAGAGCATGCCAGAAACAGCACCTTCAACGTTCAGCAGACATAAAGAACATAACTTAAAAACAAAATTCAGATTAAAATCCCAACTGTAAACTTATTATGATTAATCCTCTCCATCATTTTCCTGGCAAATTTTTTGTCTTTTAAAATCATTTAAAATATCATATATATTAAAAACATCATTTTTTTTAAAACTCCTTCCTGATATCAGTGAAATATTTACATCTTTCCACATAATGCTCTGCAGTGCCCGGTTCTTTACAGATATCACAGAGGTCAGACTCTTGTAATTTAAACCTTTTAAAATGGAAAGGAAAACGGCCATGACCTGTAATGCTTTGGTTAACGTCAGTGTCTGAATAACATAAACCTTTTTAAGTGTAACAAATTTCATATAACCTTTATTTTGGTCAGACCTTTCAAACTCCTCCCTCCATATACATATTGTGCATATATACAAAATAGAAGCAAAGTAAGAAATCTTATTTAATTAGGGAAATACCAGCTTTATTAACTACACCCTTTATCTGCCTTTAATAGTTGAATATTTTTAACTTGTTTTCTCTGTGTTAATTTTTTCAAAATTTTTATGTGCATTTGAATTCTTTTACATTGACAGTATTAAAATTATTGATGAATGAAGTGACAAAACTCAGGTAACGCATAAAATAATGATGAAAAGAAAATAACCATTAGCACAGAGATATAATGGTTCTTCATATCTTAATAATCGCAATGATGAAAGAACTTTTGCTTGTTTTTCAAAAATTCAACAACACAAATTCTGAAAATTAGTTACAGAGACTAAAAGCTGTCAGTCAGATAAAATATAGAACTATAATGCATGACGCTTAATTAAATAAATTTCTAATTTAAAGGTTCTTGATTAAAATGTTGAATGTCAAATGTCTTGCTTCATTTCTGTAAAGGGTTACAAACTATTAAACATAAATATTAAATAAATTTATTAGATAGCTAAGCATTAATGCACAAAGTGTTCTAAAACTCTTATCTTCATATTTCATTGCAAATTCTACTTTTCCTCGTTATTTTATGTGTTAAATTTATGTGTAAAGTAATTTATGTGTAAAGTAATTATTATTTATGTGTAAAGTAATTTTTAAATAATTTAAAACACCAAATAATATTCAAATTAGGTGTAATTCCATTAGGGTGGTATCACTTTAAAATGTACCCACTTTTTTTTGTCATCTAGTAAATAGTCAAAAAGAAAATTAGTTTCATTACTTAGAATAAAAAAAAAAAATTGAAATATAGAATAACAAAACAAATTTCAATCTAAACAGTGGCATAAATATCATTCAATATTGCAGAAAAATTGGTTTTTGAATATGACCGATGTTACATAAATTCTCTATCAAATATGAGTAAATGGTGGTGAGCAGTGCTCCAATGTTGTTTATTCTGCCATTAGCACTGCCATACAATCACTTCACAGTTTAGGTATAGCATCCAGTTTGGGGCTGTATAGAATTAATTATAACTGTGATTCACAGTTAAAATATTGACAGCTAGAATTTCTTAATTCCCCTTTCTCATATCCTTTTCAGCAGTCTGAAAATATAATGCTGCCATCCACGATGTTTTCCTGAATGGCAATCATCACTGTTTACAGTAGGGCTTCTTAAACTTTTTTCAACTTCTTTTTTATCACTGAGATTTTTTTTCGCGACCCCAGATATTAAATATAAAATAAAGATATAAAAATAAATATCCTTCCATAAATAATTTACTTCTTTGGTAAACAATATACATATAAAAAGAAGTATTTAAAGATTTATACAAGAATTTTAAGCAGACAAAAAGAAAATTCTTATGAGACAGATGTACTCGTTTTCTGCTGCATAACAAATTAAATGTTGGTGCAATAATCGGCACTGCTGGACATAAAGCATCTTCAACATGTTTCAACATTGAAGGACATTTGGTTTTAATTAGTGTTAAAGCTGAAAAGGTAGTTTTATAAAAAATATATGGTGCTGAATGAGAGAACAACATTTAAAACATGAAAAATCTAGTTCTAACTCCGATCCAGAATTCATCAGGAATTTTTGTGAAAACTCAAGTTTTAGGTTTGATTCGCTGGATAGTTTGAAAAGACTTTGTGATGTTACCATTTTTATATAACATCTGGCTCCATATTTTTGTTGGCTCTGATTTTATTTCTTTTTGCAACATATCAAAGAATCCGCACTTACCTCTCTCAAGTTTTTCCAGTCTACAATCATATTATGGTTGATTTCTAACTGAAGTTGACATCAATTCCTGACATCAGATAGATAAAGTGAATAGCACTGAGGAAAGAAAGAAGCTAACCTTCAAACATTGTTTTGGTTCTCAAAAAGTATTGTAATCGCGAAAAGTTTCAGGCAGCACATTTCAACAAGAATATCCATTTTGACCGCTATCGAATGCAATTTAACGATGTTTTTGCGTGATATTTGTATGTAAGAACAGAATAAAAGACTCGTTTCCTCAAAAAAAATTATAAGAGTGCTTTAAAATTAATTCTGAAGAGAATTTTTCGTGGCGTATGTACATACGTACGTATCTCGCATAACTCAAAAACGAGTAGCCTCAGAACATTGAAATTTTGTATATAGGACTGCCATAACATGTAGATGTGTACCTCGTATTTTGGTTGCAATCAGCTGCACCAAACATATATAAATATATTTATATATATATCCACTCTGTTACCCGGCTCAGTGATCTCAGTTTCTTTACTCTTATATGTTTGTAAATTGTACATTTTTTGCTTTAAAAATGATTGAATTATGCTGTTCTTATCTTCCGGTTAAGGTTTTTACGCCTTTAGTAAATTTGTATGCAGTATTTTTAGAATTATCAGCAATTTTAAAGTTGTTTAAGTGCCGCTAAGCTCAATAATTTTTTTGATGGCAGCCATTGCTTGTTTACATTTGAAACAGCAGACTAGTGGATTTGTTGCCAATCTAGAGAAACTTAGCTTTGCAACAACAAAGATAACACCTTCATTTATTATTGCCAATTAAATCATGCTTAATCCTTTCTGGAATTTTTTTGAGGAACTAAGTTTTTAAGATTTACTTCATAATTTTTAATATAGATATTTTGAGTTTTTATGTATTTTTGCCTTCTCGCGAAGTGAGAACTAAATTAATTGAATGAGAAATACTCAATCGTCTGTGAAAAACTGTTTCTTTTTTTGTTTTGTTTGCTTAATTTCTTTTATACATAGTTCTAGCTTTATTATAGCATTTGAATAGAACATGTGGCAACGATTAGATAATTCTTTAAATGATATAAATTTTGTGCAATCTGAGTTATAATATGAACGAAATATAATACTGTTAAGTGAATGTAGCGCTAGAGTGTCACTATGGTAAACAAATACTAGAGTGAATTTTAAAGAATGCATTTATTCTATTGTGGTATGCGCTGTCAGCGAAGTAGATTTAATACAACCCAATAAGTTTAAATGAAATGCACGAAAAAATGCATATAATTTAATATTCCGTACAAGGAAGTCATGTGGTGTACACATCGTATTTTTTTTTTCTCACAACAAGAACATATGTAACAGCATCATATAAGAGTCAAAAGTTGACTTCATCAGATGATTTTTAGAAGTCTGTTCCTATGAATAATTCCAGTGCCCCGAAACAATCTTGTCCCAGTGTCTTCATCATTAGGTTACTGCCAAATTGTGTAATCCATCTTACTCAAAAGGTAAAAAAAAAAAAAAAAATTCAATGAGTTGTATTATTCAAAAACTAGAAATCTCGAGCCATGATATTTAGTGTGGTTGTTGACATATTTTTTAACAAACGCTGCTCAAACGGAATTGTTCCTCAAATTATTATACTAATTACATTCCAATACATTTTAAGATTTTTAATCTGACCATGTACAAAGGATAGATGGGCTTTTTAAATATCATATAAATGTAAGAAAATTCAAAATTCCTTATAAATAAAATATTTGAATAACTATACTGTTACAATGAAATTTTTATCTTGTTATCGGTAACTGCCAGAAATATCTAATATGAAATTTTATTTTTTAACCTCACTAAGTTACATGTACTCTTTCAATTAGAACAAATTTTGAAATATGTTTTAATTTACAGCACTGGTCTCCACCTGGGTGCAAGAAACTCAATGACTGCTTGAATCCACCACCTTCAAAGCCTTATAAATGTGACTGGCCTCATTAAGATCATAATTTGAATTTTATTTTATAAGATGTATAAATTGTTACATATTTGATACTAACTTTAGTTTTTGTCATAATTTTCTAATCCTTTAATATTTAAATATCTGTAAATGAAATACAATGTATTAAAAATTAGCAGTTGGTAGCTCAGTTAAAAATTTATTTTCACATGATTTTTTTTAAATGAATCCCATAAGGAATTTATAGCTATTCTAATTATACATTATTCTAGGAAAGAAATACGATAAAAATGTTTTTTCAACATCCAAAATTTTAACGCAGATTGACACATGAAAGTTTTATTTGGCTTCATACACACATACATACAAAGGCCCATAAAAATACAAAAAAGAAATGATATGCCTATGTGAAGCCAAGGAAAAATACTTGGCAACTTCGGATGAAATGTTCCTTTTGTTGTGCATTCTACAAAAATGACTCGCATGCTAACACACACAAATGCTCAAAAATGCGATTAAATATAATAACATTCAAAATGAAGCATCTCTAGTGTCATACTTGCATGCAAACTCAACAGCCTTTCTGCATTTTACAATCTTTAATGTAATTTACAATTTTGGCTAACATCTAGGCTAATCCTTTCATATCCACGGGAAGTTTGCTGCAAAGATTTATACCTATCTTCATTTTTTCCCACATGAAACATGTTATATCAAAAAAATTTTTAATTTAAACTAATTTCACAATTAGCTATTTTTTAGAAGAATGCCTTTGAATAACTATAAAAAGGCAATAAGCAGATGATACATTATATGACACTCTACTACAATCTCCATCATACAACATATTTAAAACGATATGTCCATGTGATTGTTTTGAATGTGCACTGAACGTTTTTCATTTTTTATACAATTAAAATTCCTCAGCCCCACAAAAATAACTTATATGATAAATATTTCAATTTCTTGAACTTTTAATTGCACAAACTCGTCAAGATAATTTCGATTAATAAAACTAAATTTTAACAAAAGTTTTATTTAGAAAAACTGATATAGCAGAAGTTGATTCTTAAAATTTTAGAATTCAAAATGTTTTCTATTAAAAGAGTTTGCGGAAGACGCTAAAGCGGAAGACACTATAACCTTGCACTGTTTATTGTGCGTAAAGTCTTATTACATAAAACAAATAAAATTACTAAATATAAAACACTATATGCAGAATTATATTTTCTTTAAATATCTGAAGTTTCATATTCCAAATCTAAGTATTTACTCACATTTTAAAATTTGTGTTAAATGAAGACACAGTTAGCTTAATAAATAAATAAAGCACTGTGATACTTCTGAATGCAGCACAAGCAGAATTAAAAAAAAAAAAGTCTCTTGATGCAAACTAACGGAACTATAAAAAGCAGTTTCTGAAAATTTTTCAGGATAAATTTTTAAAGTGAAGGAGGAAGAATCATAATAATTGTATAAAATTAGAAAAATTTCATATGCACTTTTCATTTATAGTCGATCTTCATATCTATAATATTCAGCTTGTCAAATAATTTATGTCTGTTTCTGAATATCCCCCATTCAGTATTAAAAAACATGTTAATGAATATTTACAAATTATTACCAACATCTAACTTCAACACAAAAATAAACAAAAAATTAAATGGTCTAGTGCAAAACATATTAAGTATACACTATCAAGCATATGTGCACCAATTAATATACATGTTTTTACATATCTATAAAACAGATACAATATATTATCACACATCAGACACTTAAACTGTTAAATCATAATTCTATTTAAGACTGAAACACTGATTTGATTTGTGACTTCATAAAACCAGCCAACTGTTAAATAACTGAAAATTTGATACATTCACATTTAAGAGTTTGCAAGGCACACATGCAAAATGTTGCTATTTTATAAGATAATTATTTCAGCAGTTTGAAAGCAATTAAAATATCGAGAAATTTATTGTACCTTTTAATAGAAATTAAAAAATTCATTAAAATCTAAAAAGTTTATTGATAAGAAAAATGATTACATAATTTACTCTGTAAATACAAAAAAGTGTCAAGGGAAAATTACACCAATCTGAACAAGATATTCAGTTCTCAGACAAGAAACAGGGCGTATATTAATAAAATATTTATAAAAGCAGCTGGTCCCCATATTTATAAAGATGAATTAGCTATTTGAATATAAATTATGAAAATATATAACTAATACTCCAAAATCAAATCTTATTTTTAAGGTTAAGTTTTAGATTAACTCTGTTAACATTCTGCCACTAAATTCTAAAATGTATTAATTTTAGAAAATTAATATTGTGTACTAAAATCACATGCAGAATTTTGGAAAATGTTTTTAAAATGAATTCTGGAGTTTCTGCAGGTTTTTAATAAAAATTATTTTACATGTATTCAAATAATAGAAAATAAAATTTTACAGAAAAAACAATTTTAAAACACACTTCAGTATTTGTAAGACAAATTCAAGAAGTGCTTCTTAAGATCTAGTATTCTTAACTCTCAGAGACAGATAAATTTCAACCACTAGTTTGTTACATTTTTTAGATAACATTTTTCATTTATTAGTTAGCTATATTACTTTTAATTCTTCCAAAATAACTAGTCACATATCAAATCATGATATAATTCTGGCTTCAGAACAAAACTAAAACTTCTGCTCTTTTTACCAAGTATGTTTCACTCTTATTCAAATTATAATATGCAAATGAGATTCAGTAATTCAAATACAGTTTCCATTGTACCTACTAGCTTAAAAATATGCTAAACATGTAAATTCTTCAACTTCAAATAAAACCTATATATTGTAAAAGGATGTACAAATATGTGAAAAACAAGAAGCCACTGCATGTAACTATCATATAAAAATGGTATTTCATCAAGTATTTGTTTCAGGTTTTAAAATTTAATTATGAAATTCAAAGTAATATTCCAGGTAGTTGAAATAAATAATTGCAAGGAACAATTCTAATATATTAAATATTTATATGCTTCTAAGAGCAAAGTTCCATTTATAAATCAGCCAGTAGTTTATACTAAAACTGCAATTTCCCCTTTTATTTACTTAATACAATTTTTCCTTTACTTACTTGACTCCGAAGTATCTCTCAATGTATTTTTTTTACAGAAAAATGAATAATTGTTTATTAAATATATAATTTTTTCATGTGTGTAAGAAAATTTGCAATTTTACTATTTGCAAGTGCTTACAGATTAAAAAATCTCAAGTATGCATGCACGTACTGATTCCAGTACCTGATATGATGAAAGCTTGATATGATTTTAATTCTGTGTTATTCAGATGGCAGTGAGTACATCAAGAATTTGCATTAAAACTTCTTGATATTCTAACAAAAATTAAGTAACACACAGCAAATATGCTGTTCGCTAAAAGATAAAACCGAAACTCTACTATACATAATCAAAGTACACTTTTTTTAGTAGTTCATATCTATTGCAATTAAATAAACTGCAATAATAAAAACCTGGATCAAACCTGATGAATTCCATTTCCCAAAGTGGCACATGTACAAATAAATCATTACTTGACAAATCCTTAAAAAGGCAGGTGTTTTGATGACACCAACTCCAAAGTACAAACCACAAGAGATTGTGCAGATATTTTTCTTTTTTCAAGACGGTATTGCTGTAAATGCAAACTAGCACATACATATGAAGGCAGTCCATTTATCGCATATAGACAAAACTGGATTAAAGCTTATACAGGTATTAAGTGGTACAATTAAACAACATTTTAGTATTACAGCACCCAATCTCAAACCATGCTTTGCAAGTAGCTCTATGAAATGCACGCACATTATGTAATCGTTAGCCAAGCAGTTACCGTGGACTGGAGTACACAGTAAGCCTCTAAAAGCTTTAATCCAATCTGATGCAATTCGTACCCTTTTTCCACTAGGGGGAAAAATCATTTTATACAAGCCAATTTTCACTTTGTTGGGTAGTAGAGGCTTTCACCGTGCACTTTATAGGTGATGCCACTCCCTGGAGAATATCCACCTCCGGGATAGGGTGGGGGTTTTTCTTCGTGTTGGTTGGGAGAAGTGGTGTATCTGGGTGCAGCTAAAAGAAATGCATAATCACTTTGTACATCTAGTTTGAAACTTATTACATTTAATAATAGACACACACACGCTAGAAAATTTTCAATTAAAATAGAGAAATATATATACACTGTGGATTAAAATTTTACTTTAGATCAAGGCTTATTCAGCTGGAGCCTAGAACACAAATGAATTTTTGACTGAAATCATAATTCTAGCCAGATCTCCAAATAAAGTGATAACTATTTTTTTACTTTAATCATCTAATTTATGTTTCCCTACATCTTTGCATAGAATTCTGGTATTTCTAATCTTAAAAATTAAGTCCTAGTTAAAAAATAGAAATATATATGCAGTGAAACTTCATCATAAGGTCACCCTTAGAGACTTTGCAAGAATTACTGCAAAAGAAGATAAACTAATATATGGTGAGAATAAAAGAAGTTACAAAAAAAAACGTGGGCAAACACAATATTTTTTAAACAAATATCAACATCAAATTAATTTTTTTTAATATTTATAATGTAACTTAATAAGTGCAATTAAAATTTAAATAAACAGTGGTTTCTTTTTAAGTATAATTTATTTACACAGTTTTGTTTATGTATAGCACAATGCAAAAGTTGGGAAGTAAATCAAAAACTACTCACTGTTTGAAAAAATAGTAACGTAATTATTTTTATTTCAAAAGCTGAGTAGCTGTCTATCTATCTCAATTGTGAACAATTTTAAAATGTTTTGTAGTAGCACTGCATGATGTTGCTAAAGATCTTATAATGTCTAAAGCCTATAATATAAAATTTAGATGGTGCCCCCCCCCAAATTCAATTATCATCTTCATTCTCAGTATCATTAGAATTATATTGTTGAAAAATGAAAGCTTCACAGTCTTTATCTATATATCAGAGTACATCTAGAACAGTGGTTCTCAAACTCTTTTGCCCCATGCACCCCCTTTCATCATTGCTAAGTGAACATCCCCCTCCCCCCTTTCCAAAACTCTAAAAATATATATACATTTAAATTTAGATTTATTTTTAATGTGTTTTATAAATTAAACAATAAAAGTATGGGAAATGTTGATAAATAACAAAATTTGAATAAAAGTAGTTTTTTATAAACACTTAACAGGTAAATAAAAAGATGACCACATCCTTTTCATAAAACTATGAAATTCCCTCTGGTTGAGAACCTCTGTTCTAGAACATCACATTCACATTTCTGAAGATGATAAGTCACTTGAAAAGTCTTCTTCGTAAGAGTTGATAACTAACATGTCTAAAATATAAAAATGCACTTTTTGGATATCACATAACTCTTTTCAGTTTTGCATCTAGAAACATGATGCTCCTTTTTGCTATCAGCATTTCAATCAAATCTCTATGAAGAAATTGATTTCTACATTCTAAATTGCAGTTTAATCCATAAAATACTAGCAGCATTTGTAGCAAGACTGCAAGTTCAGTAGCTTTTAAATTCGTTAGCTGTGCAATTAATACTTGAAAACTGCTTCAATGTTCTTTTCTAAATTGTTGCTGGTATACTAGCATTTTGATTAAACTCAGAGAGACAATGATTTTACAGTTTTATAATAATAGTCATTCAGTTTCCTGAATTTTCTGATCACCATGAAGTGATCTTCTCAAAAACATTCATACTCACTGTTAATACAACTGTTAACATTTTACTTCTCCCCATCCACTCACTTTTTATTTTTCAATCTCTTACAATGGAATCGTTTGAAAACTGCAACACTCAAGGACCAACAACAATAGCTTCATAAATTTTAAACATGGTTTGACTGAAATCTTTGAATGTATGAGTGAAATCCTCTTTGAATAATTTTTTAGAAATTTGTACTCCCTTTTCTTGCAGAATAAGATTCATCTGGAACACTTTGGTTTCATTAAGCTTATTTTATTTACTTTGTCAAAAATGCATCATCTATGTTTGGAAATGGTGAAAGGTACTGCTTTTTTCTTCTTGCATTGCTAGCCTGTTTTTCCTCTTTGTAAAGCCCCCCCCCTTATTAATGAAACCATCCTTTGTCAAAATATAATATATAGACAGAAACTGGAGTCTAACTGAAAAACCCAAATTCTAGGAAACATTTTAAAACCACACTTTGTCTTATCATTCTTCCTTTCATCGTTTTCCATTTCATTGTTACACACTTTGTCTCATCATCGTATTCTGTGAGTAAAAAGATATGTAAAATGTACAAAGAAATAAAAAAATTAGCAACAATTTAATATCAAGGGAAATACAGAAGTATCAAAATTTTCTGGCAACTACTTAATTCCTAAAATCTTATAACTCGAAATGACGGTGTAAGCTATACTGACACTACAAATCTAAATATGCAGTGAACTAAAACACTAAGGCTATAATTTAGTGGGGCTTTTCAAAATATAGCATTGTAAATGAAGTGGCCAATATGATGAGATTTGACAGTGGTCTGAAAATGTTATTTCATACTTCTTAAAATATTTTATGTAGATAATAAAAATATCAAACACACACACAAAAAGAAACTATCTATGAATCAATACGAAAAGAAATCTGTTGAGTAAGAAAATATATCTTTTAAATATCCACTCTTCTGTGCATAGCCAGGTATGCACTTCATTATTTGGTTTTATATTATTAAAATAATAATTTCAGAACTATTACCTCCTTGATAAGATAACTTACTTTATATTTTGAAATCAAATGTTTAAAATATAAAATTAGAACATAAAAGCATCTTAAATCATTGACTATTAAAATTATTTTTAATATATTTTTAATATTATTCCAGATCTAGTTCTTTATCAATTTCATGTTAATTTCATTCAGTAGTAAAATTAATCTTTGATTTACACCATAAAACTTAACTTCTAATTTAGAAAAAATATATAAATAAAATTTACGATACTTCTACTATTATATCCCATTACTTTTTATATAAAATAATCATTATTATAATTAACTTGCATATTTTTATATTATAATTCACTAGAAAAATGCCAAAAATTAAAGTTCAAGATTCTTTTTCTGTCTGCTTTCCAAGTAGGATAAAAATTACCTAAATTATTATAAAATTTTACATATCGTAAAATAATATGAAACTTGTTGCAATAAAAAGCAAATTTTGAAACTATCTTAAATCATAGAAATTAGCTCTAAAAACAATATTCTACAAAAAGCTGACAAAAACTATTATTTAAAAGTCTGCTGTCATAAGCATATAAAAGGATCTATTTTCTAATGTACAAAAACAAATTATATTATCTAAATCTTTCCACTTCCGCACAGAAAAATATTTCGTCCTTTGATGTCTAACTGTAGCATGCCAAAATAAGTACGTCATGCATAAAAGAATTCTAAAAAGTTACCTGGGAAACAAATCAAAGGGCACTACGGAGCACAACACAGTACGATAAAGAAATAGGCAGCTAAGAGATAACAGTAAGAAAACAAAAAATTGGCATTACACGCTTACTGGGATAAGGCTGGTTCTGACACTCATCGAGATCTTGTCTTTGCAGGCGGGCTCTTCGGCACAGGCATACTCCAACACCCGCCACAAAGATGCCACAAGCTATCAGTACAGTTACAAAAACAGCAAATGCACCAACAGCCATTCCCAAGATCTCTGTCCCTGAAGTGTCATCTGAAATTAAGCAAATCAGGTCTTTGAATTATAGCATAACTGAATAAATCCAACTCTAATGCATAATATCTACTAAAAAAAGAATCAGATTTTTATCGTTTTATAATACAGTTATTAAAGATTTTTGACACTGAAAATATAAAAAATAATAATTTTTAATCCTTAAAATACTTTAAATATCCATATTATGCTTTAGAAATTGGTAATTAGTTATGTTTTTAATTCAGATTGTTTGATCAGGAAATTTCAAAATATGTTTGCAGTTTTAAGTACCATGAACACAAAACTATTATTATACGAGTTTCGGTAAGTGTTTTCCGATTTTTTAAGTGTGATTTCAAAGAAAATGTCCTTGCAGCATACAGTTCCAGAGGTATTACAGGTTTGAAGACTACAGATCCGTTATTATAAACAAGGGTGTTTGTGATCCGGGGAAGGATTCCCCGGATTCAAAATAGGGGGATTTTTCGCCGTATTAGATATTTGTCATTGATTGCTTCTCAACTTTTTTTTCTCTGCTGTGTAAAATTTTCGTTTCATTTATTGATGCACATGTAAATTTTTCGTTTCGTTTATTGAAATATTTTTTTATTTATGTACGCAAGAGAATTTCACTATGAAATTTCTCGATATAAATAGTGATATTATACAATTAGAAGAAGGTGTCCGGAATGCATTTAGGTGGAATTGGATTGAACGGAGAGATGGTAATGGGGATACCATCGGCACATGGTGCAAGAAAATAAATGTTGCTGGACAAGCATATTGTGTTTTTTGTAACTCACTGCTGAAGTATGGTGGGGGAAGGATTCAAGGCTTTCACAAATCATTCTAAAACTGTGACACACATAAAATATTCAAAGTGCATTAGACATTCAATGACTTTAAGTAATTATGCTAATTCAAAAAATACTGGAGACTGATGCTCGGCCATTGGATACAGTGACAAGAAAAGCACGCCAAGAGGTATTAATAACTTCGTTTATCGCCGAGAATTCTCTTTCTTTCAATGTAGCTCCCAATTTAATTGAATTCTGCAAACAGTTGAGCCGCGATCAGACGGCACTACACTCGTTAGAAATGTCCAGGACTACTGCATGTTATAAGATGAAATATGGGCTCGCAAAAACTATTAAGGAAAATATCATTAAAACTTTAAAGGTGACTCCATTTTCTCTAAATTTGGATGAAAGTACTAGCAATGCTCAAGAAAGTATACTGGCAATATTGGTGCAGTTTTATGACAACAATCAAAATGAAGTTGTAGTTCATCATTTTGCATCTCTAAAGATGGAATCTTGCAATTCAGAAGCTGTTTTTAAAGCAGTTGTTAATACTATTGAAGATAATAATATTCCATGGGCAAACTTAATCAGTGTATTAATGGACTCTTGTAACACCATGCGTGGAAAAAAAAAAAGGTGTTGAAACCAGACTATGATCAAACAAAGCACCCTACTTATTAGATATTGATGGTGACACATGTCACACAGCTAATAACTGTGCAAAAAAATTTGCTTCATGTTTTGATAGATACTTAGAAGATTTGTTTGATGACATCTATTTTAAAATGAAAAGCTGCAGTAAAGAGAGAAAATTTTTTCAAAATCTGTGAATCCCTTGCCATTAAAAAACTTAAGCCCTTGAAGAGACCAGACCATAGGTGGGTGTACATTTTATGTGTTTTAGAAAGAATCAAAGATCTGTGGGATGCTCTTATTGCATTTTATTTTCACTACTCGGATAAAACTGATAAAGGGGATTATTTTTCTTATGTTGAAACTGTATACAATAAAAGAAATATTTCTGCAGCTCAGAAAAAAATTGTTGAAGGGGTGTATTCTTGCTTGCATTCCCAACAACTCACAAAGGATGCTTTAGCTCACAAAAAAAGAATACTAAATGGGTTATTTGTTATGCAAAACAAAACTTTATTGCATATGGCATTATATTCAGCAGTATTACCAGAGTTCAACACATGTATTAAATTATTTGAAACAAAAAAACCAATGCTTCATTTAATACATTCCAGTATTTATAAATTGATGGCAAAATTTTTCTCTTTTCTTATGAAGCCAGAAAATATAGAAAGCACATCTTATAATGATTTATGAAAGGTTGATGTCACAAATCCAGAATTCCATCTACCTAGCAAAGTAATATTTACTGGTGCAGAAGCTTCCACTCTCCTGAAGAAATTATCAAAAAATCATCTAATAGCAAAAGAATTCCAAATTTCTCTGATGAAAGCTTATACTAATACAGCACAGCATATGAAACAGAAATTACCCCTTAAAAATTCATATCTAATTAGTTTTACAGCATTACATCCAGAGCTAAGAGGTAAAACCAGTACAATATTAGCTTTTGAAAAATTATCATCTTTTATGTCCCATATTTTTAGTGATAATGAAAAGTCAAAAGTAGAAGCTGAAATAACGTTATACCAGAGTGATATTGATAACACCAAAGAAATGCTCTACACATCTGATAAAAGTGGAAATCAAGTCAAGTGTACAATTGATAAATATTGGTCTAAAGTTTTTAATTTAAAAGATGATTTCACAAATGATTATAAGTATCCTACATTGGCTAAATTGGTCAAAGCCTGCCTTAGCTGCTTCCATGGCCCATTAGTGGAAAGTGCATTCAACTTAATAGATACACTTGTCACTGACTATAGAACCTCTCTTAAGATTGATTCCCTAGATGCAGTGCAGACTATTAAATATGATTTAATGGCTTCTAAAGAAACCTCGTGTGAAAAATATGGCTCAAAAAACCCAATGACTGATCCAATTCACAAAGATCTCTTACTGAATATGAACAGAAGTTGGAAAACATATCAAGAGGACTTAAAAACATGTATTTCAGATGAGTCACCTATAAAAGTCTCTGAAAAACCTTCTACATTAGCAGAAAAGCAAACTGCTTCTACCTCTGCATGTGCAGTTCTCGAGGAAATTTCTTCAACTGTAAATGAGGAAAATAAAAGTCAACCTTCCTGCAATTATGAAGTTCACCACAAAAGAAAGACAAGCCCACAAACATCAGAAAATTAAAAAAAAAAAAAAAAGCAGCAGAAATTAGATAATTTTTTTTTTAAGAATTAATTCAGGTAATTTAAAATATTTACATAAAATGTAGTAGTTTATATGTTTGAAAATTTATGGTTATTAATTTTGCAAAAAAAGTAATTCATTGAACTTTTATAATTAGGTCATTCAATACTTCATAATTGTAATTTTTCATTTCTCTCCCCCCCTTCTCGAACCTCCAAAATGTTGGTAGTAAGTCCGTAAAAGTTTCAGGGGATTTTTTGGGGTCCCACAAACACCCCTGTTATAAAACATCATAATTTGTTCATATAATTTGCCAATTTATTACCTAATTTTATTTAACATACCTTAAAATTTTTAGGGAACATCTACTATATGCCTACAATTTCATGTTCCAGAGCAAACGATTACTCAAAGCAAAAGAACATAAAAGTTCCCTTTTTTAATACCAGCTTCTAAACATCTTGATTATCAAGTACATACTGGTTAACCACCAGTTCACTGTGTAATGACAGATGAGTATAAGGAGCATTTAAATAAAAATGAGTTGGGTTTATCAAATGTTGTGATAATCATATGAAGAAGATAGACACAGCAAGTCTCAAACTGACCATATCAAGGAATAAAATATACATGTCATACTTAACGCGTTAAGCGCAGTGCCGAATTTGCTGTCCTTTCCGTTCAGCCGGCAGCGAGCTAAGCTGTTTTTGTTTAGAATGTTTCAATATATTTCATTAAAACTAAATTTGATCACATTTCATTGAGACTATATTTATTTTTTAATTTTAATACTGTCGGTCCCGTGGACCGACGCCAGTCTAAATGAAAATTCTGAACGGCGGCCACACGGAAAGTTCACTGCTGTTCCTCAGAGACCAACGCCAGCCACATGGAAAACCCCGGCACCGCGCTCAACGTGTTAAGACGCTAAGTTCTTCGTCTCAACAGCAGAAGCCTCCTTGCAAATCAAATTTCACCAGATTGTTTGCAATAAAGGCAAAAGCTTGTGAAATTATACATTTTCTAACAGCTGATTAATGTTTCCCAGTTTAAATCTTTCCATATCCATGAAACATACAGCTCTCTGGCAAAGAATGCTTGACTCTAGTACAGAAGATACTCATTTTCTTTTTTAGTTACAGTGAGTATCTTCTCATAAAATCCACATATTACCACTAAAAGAGTACTCTAGAATGAAGTCTCGAAATTTTTTAAGGGAATGGACTACCAAAAAAATTAGTTTTGATGAATGAAATGATTTTGATTTAAATAAAAATTAAAGCCAACAAACTGCTCAAACATGAAAGAGACAATAAAGATAACAATATAGCTATGAATTATTATATAATTCTGAAGTTTTATTAATTTGCACATCAATAACTTCTATCACCATTTTTTCCCTTCAAATAATACATGTAAAAGCATATGTGAGCTTTAATAAATGGTGAAACATAACCAATGTTTGGTATTAATTTCAAATGAAAGGAACCTTTGATTTAAAATTAACATTAAACAAAGGTTAACTTCTAATAAAGTGGTTCTTAAATGCATATAATTTCAGTTACAATAAACTGAATCTCTTCCTTGACTAAAAATATTTCATTCTCTGTCTGAAAATTGTTTTAAATATAATTTAATGCAGAGAACAATTATGCAAATGTATTATAACCTAATAAAGTTTGTTTTAATAATAAGTTTGCTAATTTTGGCAACTACGAATAGCAGCCTTTTAACAGAAAAGTACCTACTTTTCAGCTGTGCTTAAAAATTTCTCAATAAAACTTGAAAGCTAAACTAGCCTGAAATAAATCCAAGAAGAGATTATAATTCAGCTGTGTCTAATACTACTTACCTACACATAAGGCATGACTTGTTTCATCACTATTATCTCCACAGTGGTTTACGTGATCACAGGTTAGATCTTTGGTTATGCAGAAACTGTTCATGCACAAGAAATCTCGACAACCAACAGCTATTAAGCAAAATGTATTTGATTAAACAACATATCACCCATTCCACATGGCAAAATGTTAACAAAACTCGTAATTCATGAAGTATTTCTATGACGAATAATGAATGCAAAATTCTAAAAAATAAAGATATTTAGGCAGAAAATACAGAGGGAAGACGAACATTTTCATAATAATACTAATAAACAGAACTATTTCAGCACCTGGCACCATAATGATAAAATTTTTCATTTAGGATCAAGTAGATAATTATAATAAAGAAGCACTTGAAGGTTATCTGTATACTTTATCATATCATATATATATATATATATCATAAAGTGAGTTATACTCCTATGTTCAAGAAGTTTGTGAAAAATGTTTGTAGGGTCTCTATTTAAAATGTAAAAAATCATTACTTTATCTCCTTCAAAGTAACATGCATTTGAACTCAGATTCTAGCTCCACAGCTATTGTCATTCTGGAAGCACTAAGGAAAAATACTTCTTTTGATACCAGTCATAAACTGGCTGCCATGTCATTTTGGATAGCTTTTTAAAGTATTTGAAAACACTGACTTGGTAGAGCAATAAATCTGGCATATAAGGTGATTGTGACATAACAGAGGATCTATTTCAAATCTAAAAAACATTCTTTGTTCAAAATATGGCACTATAATTTATAAAAGGTGTCCCAAAATTAATGCAAGATTTGAATCCAATATAAAAGATAGTTTTTAGTCTATAGATATTTATTTTTAAGTGAATCATAAAGTGCATAGGATAGGGTTATTTATGGAATAACACATCGGGCAAATGGCCTCCACAGCTTTGCTGGCACATACGCATCCTTTCGTCGAAATTTTTCATGACCTTTCTGCATAATTGTGGCTGAATTTCGTTGATGCAGCGTTTAATTTCCTCTTGTAATGCACGTGTGGTTGTGAGATTGTTGACATAGACCTTTGACTTCAAGTAACCCCATAAGAAGAAATCTAATAGTGTTAAATCACATGATCTAAGGGCCTAATTCTGATCACCAAAACGAGAGATTACATGATCAGGAAATGTCTCATGCAGTAATTGAATTGTTTCATTGGCTGTATGGCATGTGGCACTGTCTTGTTGAAACCACATATTGGCCACATTAATATCATCCAATTTCGGCAGAAAGAACTGTGTTATCATGTTGCGATATCGACCACTATTTGCTTGACCAGCCTCATTCTCAAAAAGTATAGTCCGATGATGCCTTCTGCCCAACATCCGCACCAAACAGTGACACATTGTGGGTGCATATCTTTTTCGCTAATCACACATGGCGAGGTGAAAATGTGCTTCATCGCTTAGGATTATTTTGCTCGAAAAACCAGCATCCATTTTTTGATGATTAATAATCCATTCCATGAACTCTCTTCACTGTTCATGTTCATTAGGCTTCAGTTGTTGTATTAATTGAATTTTGTAAGCACGAAGACACAGATCTTGAGTATACACTGTAGAGAGCTTCTTGAAATTTGCAATTCTTGTCCACAACGCCAAATTGATGTTCCTCGGTTTTCACCAACACTCTCACGCACACTGCTTCCAATATTGACTTTTGAATGACCAGTGTGTTTAGCGTCTCCAAGTGATCCAGTCTCCACGAATTTCTCAATTAATCCTTTCACAGTTGACGAGGTTAAAGGCCTCATTCAATTGAAACATTTAGTGATCGTTAGTCGTCATACGTCATCAGTTGCGATTGATTTTGCTGTTTTGGTATTCAGTTGAAACGCAACGATCACTCTGACCTCGCAATCGATCGTTCTCATAGCGATCACTTGGAACCCATCATTCCGCAGCGAAAAACGAATTGGATTATTGTAATTTGGCACAAAACCTGTCAAGGTTATCTGCGCCAGACAAATGGTAACAATGCAATTAGTCATTTGTAAAAACTTCCAGCTTAGGTAAGAGACAGATTACAGTCTATGATAAGAGCTGATATCTTTTAAAAAAACAGGTTAAAGTCTATTATAAAAGCCAATATCTTTTAAAAACAGAAACAAAATTACGATGATGTGCTTTTTCAATTAAATTTTTTAAGTCCAGTTCTGAACAATTAAAATGTTTTTGGCGAAAATAATTAAAACTCTGGCATTCCACCAAGATATGATGGACTGTCAGATCTGCATTGCAGTTTGGACAGCTGAGATTCTCTTCTCCCTTCAGAAGATACTCATGGGTCAGGCGACAATGGCCAATTCTCAGTCGAGTCAAGAGGACATCTTCCTTTCTATTAGCCATACATGGCCAGTATCCAATGGTGGGTTTTACATTTCTCAGCTTGTTATATACTCTGTCATCCCATTGCTTCTGCCATTTGCTGAGGATTTTGCTTTTGACAAACCCTTTGATGTCTGCTAGTGGAATCTGAAGATTGTACATTGTGGCTGCAGTTTTAGCTGCAATATCTGCCAATTCATTCCCCTTAATGGCAACGTGTCCAGGGATCCATGAATATAGAATCTGGTATCCCCAAATTTTTAAAGAATGATTCAACTTTAGGATTCTGATTGCAACTGGATGAGTACATTGAGCGTGATTTTTCAATGACTGTAAGGCACTCATAGAATCTGTGTAGATAATAAATTTTATGTACTTTTGTTTTGAAAGGTAAGTCAAAGCCAGCTGGATTGCAGTAAGCTCAGAAGTAATCACAGAGCAAACTGTATGTAATCGAACCCCTACTATTGTTTTTTCTGTGACGAAAGCAGCGCCAACATGATCCTGGGATTTTGATCCGTCTGTATATAGAGGGATATATTTCCTATATTTGTTTCTATGTTGAAAAAAAATCTGCTTGTAGATGATTTCATTAGTTTGTGATTTATTCCAGTGTCAAAAAGTATCCAGAGAATGGATTCTCCAATCCTCCCAGGGAGGAATTCCAAAAAAATCCTCCATCTGTATATATTAGACAAATTATACTCCTCCACCAAAGCACTCATCCACAAGCCGAAAGATGGGACACATGATGGTTGTGCTTGATATAAATGGGAGTATTGGTCATTAAGCAATTTTGACCGTGTAGAATTTTCAGTTTGTGATAAGACTTTGAAATAATGCTTAAAACAAAGATTTTCACATCTTAACCGCAGGGAGGTCTCGTTACTTTCCACATATAAGCTTTCCACTAGAGAAGTTCTAAAGGCACCAGTGCATATCCGAAGTGCATGGTGATGTATCGGATCAAGTTTGGCTAACACTGAAGGCCTTGCCGACCCATAAATGATTGATCCATAATCTAGTTTCGAACGAATGAGAGCTCTATATATAAGAAGCATTGAGCTTCGATCAGCACCCCAAGAAGTATTTGACAGTACTTTCAGAATATTCATAGTTTTTAAACATTTCTTTTTTAGATAGGTAATATGGGGGAGGAACGTAAGCTTATGGTCAAATATCATTCCTAGGAATTTTATTTCCTTTTCTACAGGAATCGGCACATCTTGCAGATAAAGTTCGGGGTCAGGGTGAGGAATTTTCTTTCGACAGAAATGTACACACACAGTCTTTTGAGTAGAGAATCTAAAACCATTTTCCTGTGACCATTTAACAATTCTATTGAGAGAAGTCTGCAATTTACATTCGATGTCTTTCAGGTCTTCTCCCTGGCAACTGACTTGCAGGTCATCGACATAGAGCATACCCTGGACTGCAGGAGGCAGTTGTTTTAAAATAGAGTTAATTTTTATACTAAATAATGTAACACTTAATACACTTCCTTGCGGAACGCCCTCTTCTTGATGGAACATGTCAGAAAGTGTATCGCCTATCTTCACATGAAACTTCCGATCTTGTAGGAAATGTTTGATGAATATCGGCGTGTTTCCTCGTAAACCATTGTTATATAGGTCACAAAGGATACCGTATCTCCAGGTGGTATCATAGGCTTTCTCTATATCAAAGAAAATGGAAACATAATGATTTCTTCTAACGAACGCTCTACGGATACCTGTTTCTAAGAGTAGAATATTATCGATAGTTGCTCTTCCTTTTCTAAAACCGTTTTGATAAGGGGAGATACAATTATTTGTCTCTAAATAATAAACCAGACGAGTGTTGACCATCTTTTCAAAGAGTTTGCAGAGGCAGCTAGTAAGGGCGATGGGACGGTAATTTGACAGATTAGTAGGGTCTTTTCCCGGTTTAACAATGGGGATGACAAAAGCTATTTTCCAGGCATTTGGAAAGACTTGTTCCTTCCATACTCTATTAAAGAGAAAGAGGATGGTTGCCAATGACTTGGAAGGAAGATGTTTCAGCATAGAATAGGCAATATCATCTGGACCAGGACATGAATTTTTTGTCTGCAACAGAGCTCTTTTCAGTTCAAGCACAGTAAAATCCTGATTACATGATTCAGTGTTGGGAGAGTTGAAATTTATTAGTTGTTTTTCAATGCATTTTTTTACAGAAAGAAATTCAAGAGGGTAGTTACTACTGTGTGAGACGGCTGAGAAACTCTGTCCAATAACGTTGGCAATTTCTTCCCTACTAGTAACTGTTTCACCACTTGTCTTTAAAATGGAAAGTGTGTGCTCTTTGTAGATACCGGACGCTTTCCGGACTCTCTCCCACACCTTCTTACTCGAAGTTGAAGAGCTAATCGAAGACACATACGAGATCCAAGAATTCTTCTGACTTTTCCTTCGCACCTGCCGAGCTTTTGCTTTAGCCCTTTTGAATATTATGAGATTTGATTCTGAAGGATATTGCTGAAAAATTCTCCAAGCTTTCCTTTGTTTTCTGATGGCGTCCTGGCATTCAGGATTCCACCAGGGCTTTGGGTATTTTGGCTGTTTTACCGACGTTTTTGGTATACATATATCAGCTGCTTGAATAATTTTATCTGTAATGATCTTCACAGCCTGAACAATGTGCACATTCTTTATTATTTCTTCAGTAAAAAGAGCATAATGTAAGAAAGAGTCCCAGTCGGCTTTGTCCAACAAAAAGCGTGGTGTTCTAGGTATAAA